TTTGCAAATATTGGATGCTTGAAGCAATTGTATGAATTGTGGTTTTTGGTAATGGTGAGTGACTAAGTGTTGTTGAATTTTGAGCTTGCGAATGCCTAAGAATTTTCATTATAATTACAAGTTCTGAAAACGTGAAGTTGGTCATTAATCTATGTGATGAGATGCGGTAGTTGAGTTATTTGCTTACGAATAGATTTTGCTTGAGGACAAGCAAAAGTTCAAGTTTGGGGGTGTGTTAAGTGTATATTTTTACACTTTATCGTATCTTTTTATTTGAGCTTTTGGTGTGTTTTAATGATAATTGGTGCTTAAAAAGTTGATTTATTGTATTTTATGTACAAATTGAAGAATTAGAAAAGCATGGGGTCAAAACTGCAATTTTGGCGAAAATATGGGTCAAAAATGAAAATATCAAAATTCTGAAGATTTAAAGCTCAGACCCCCGTCCCAGTTTTAGTGCAAATTGTGAGACCCCCGTCCGAGACTCCGAAGTTGCGCAGTAAAGGAATTTTAATTGCACAAGGAAGCACACAATTAGGGATCCATCTTTTTACGCAATCTTCGGACGCAAATTCAAGAGCAAAGAAGATCAACGAAGATTCAAGCATAGTTTTTCTTATTTAATTTATTTATTTTATTTTATTTATCATAAGAATTACGAGTAACTAAGTCTTTATTTCTAGGATTTTATTTGGAAACCTATGTGGGATTTATGAACCCAATTCTATGATTTTATGCAAGTTTTAATTCCGAATTATTTCTTCTACTTGTTTTATTAAGTGCATGAACTTGATCAACTTATGTGCTTTTATGTTATTGTTAATCGCATGAATCGGAAGATCGGGTTAATAATTAGAACTGTGGTAGAAGAGCCTTTGTGGTATTAACATAGGAATATAGTTAATTTCTTAGGTAGCCATTATTGAGATTTGTGTTTAATGCTGTGTTCTAGAATTAATTGCATAGGAATATAGTAATTGAATCTAGAGTATTAGAATCGTAATACACGCGGAAGCGGGTTATGATTATTTTAGCATCTCAGGTTAATAATCCGGGTTAATTGATTGCATAATTGAAGGAATTGGGGGAGTAATAATCACATAGGGGGGAGAATAAAATCATAGGCTTGCTTATCTTGATTAAATCTTCGTTTTTAATTGCTTTCTTGTTTTTGCTTGCTTTTAATTTAGTTTAATTTAGTTAATTCACTCCAAAGTCGACTGTGTAGGGTGGGCTTGATAATAATTGCTATAATTTAGCGTCTAGAATTAAATAATTAAATATTCTCTGTGGGATCGATACTTGGACTTAAAAATCCACTTTATTACTTGTACGATACGTGCACTTGCGTGTAGGTTTTCGGCCAACACATGGGTTTATTGTGGCAATAACTGGCGTTGAGAGTATCGGGAAAGGGTTAATCCGTGATGGGACTGGATTCGTTACCTTTCCTGTTAAGTATCAATGTGTTGTATTCCGACCCTTTAAAGGCGAGATTCTGGAAGCTGTTGTTACCATGGTTAACAAGGTTAGACACCCCTAACAACCCACCCCACCCTCCAATTTTTGATCATTTGCTTGTGTTTATGTATCTTTTATGATTTATACATTGTACTTAAAATTGTTGCAGATGGGGTTTTTTGCTGAAGCTGGACCTGTCCAAATCTTCGTATCCAATCATGTTAGTGGCCTAATTTCCTTTGTTGCTTATATACTTCTCCTAGACCTTTACTTGTACTTGTCTTTCGTTCGTTTTGTCGAATTTTTTTAAATGATGCATAAGTGCTTGTTACTGTGGTCCAGTTAAACTTTAGGGATTACGAGCATCTCTAGGGATAACTTGCCTCAGATCCGTTTTCTATTCATTATGTCACTTTAACTATGTATATGTTATCAAGCCCCGAAAGTATAGCATATTATGAAAATATCTGTGTGATCGATCCGCTGTGCAGACTTGAGTGATTCCTAACGATTTTTTTTTTCTAATTTTGATCGTGCTTTGAATATACATCACGTTGTTAGAGTTGCCTTTACAGTTTGTCTGTCATTTGTTATTTAAAAACTTCTCTCTTCATTATCGAAAACTCAATTAAGGTTTGTTGTAATTATTTTAAAGTTTGTTGTGTACTTAATTCTAGAAGACCTTTGCATCTTTCTTTGAAATGCTCCGTTACGTATACTTTTGTTTTGTGGAATTGTTTGTGATGGAAAACTATCAACCATCGTATGTCTATGCTTCTAATAGTTAACAATACTTTGATATTTTGCCTTTTGGATTGTTTTCGAAACAAGTTTCCCTTTGCAATTTTTTTTCCTAATTCTGGCTTAATAGTTTCGTTCTAATTCGAAATTTTGATTTCTTGTTTGTAGTTGATTCCGGACGACATGGAGTTCCAGACCGGATATGCCCAACTACACAACATCGGATGGATCTGTAAGAATCCAGAAAGAGAGTGAAGTCCGTCTGAAGATTATTGGAACCCGAGTCGATGCCACTGAAATCGTAAGTCTTCATGTTTTGTGGCTCTAATATTTTTTCCTTATTATCGCAGTTCTGTATTGGCACGATAAAGGATGACTTTTTGGGCGTGATAAGCGATCCAGGCTCGACCTCGTGAAGTTCGTATTCCGTTTCAAGATTTCTAGTTCAATTGGGCTATAATTTATTTCAATTCGACCTCGTGAAGTTCGTTTTCCGTTTCAAGATTTCTAGTTCAATTGGGCTATAGTTTATTTCAATTCGACCGTGTTGAATCAATCGTATGTAATGTTAGAACGTGCGTTGATGTTTAGCAATATTATAGGAAAATCATAAATATAGTTGAGAATATCTTTTACTAAATGTTTGAATATTTTTCAACTGCACTTCTGGATATTTGTGCCAACTTGCCCTTATGGACTGGATATTGTAAAACATTGTGTGATTGAAAATGAAAAAAAAAATACATACAACATTAAATGTGGAGACTATGTTGATCTAACACCTAAAAATTACTCATATTTATACTAAGCCAACTCTTTAATAGATGGTGAAGATTTTTTTTATCTAACGATTAAGAATTTAGTAGACTTCTTTAATGGATGGTGGAGATCTATTCTTTAATGGATGGTGGAGATCTATTTTGATCTAACGACTAATAGACCGTGGAGATCTATTTTGATCTAACGGCTAAAAATTTAGTAGAAGAAGCCAAACTATTGTTATAAGTTATGAGTAAAAAGCAGTTTGCCCCCTAAACTATGATCCATTTTGCGCTTTGCCCCCAAACAATTTTTTTTTTGCACGTTTTTACCTACAACAAGACCTTTCGCCCAAACCCCATCCCATTAACTCCCACCATCCCGTCGCGAAACTACTCCATTTCGGCGCTGGCAGATGAGGCTAATGGGGATGCGAGGCCGTGGAACTTGTGGCCGAGGAAGGAGCTCGTCAAAACGGCGGCGGCGGAATCGAAGAAGGAATCAATAAAATTTAGAGTCTAGATTATTTTGATTGACGAGATGTTCGAAGACACCCTCGCCGGCTGGACTTCTATAGATATTGCCGAAACAAACGAGTAGCACCGAGAAAGTCACCATCTGCGGCCATTGGTGAAGCCTTTGCAGCGAGATTTCGTAGAAGACAATTAATTTATGTTCTCCTACAGTTAATTTTCCCTATTTTGCGTTCACCCTTTTTCCTCTGCCATTTAATCTTCTTTTTTTATTTTAACTTTTTTTTTTTTTAGTTTTGTGTTTTAATGATTAGTTTATATTTAATATATAGAATTTTAGTGGATAGACAAATTTACTCTGCAAATCACACGTGCATCGCACATAATATAACATTCCGTCCAAAATTGCCAGAAAATTGAGTTTATGGGGCACCCGTGCAACGGACTAACGAGTTTAGATAAATTCGTGTAAATTTCTTTTGTTTGGGGACAAAGTGCAAAACGACCATTAGTTGAGGGGGCAAACTGCTTTTTACTCATAAAATATCTACAGTCCAAAGTTTTATTATAAAATATCTACAAAAGTAAAGTTCTAAAAGTTTCCTGTGATTCTCCAAGAATCTCTATAAATCTCTCTCAGTCCTATTTTCCGTTCTAAAAGTTTTCTGTAATTCTCCAATAATCTATATAAATCTCTCTCAAATGTTTTTAAAACCGGACCGGGGATAGAACCGGACAAGCAACTTGGTCATGGTTGGACCGGTTCAATCGTGATTCAACCGAGTTTTCATATTCTTTTTATTTTTTTTAGTAATTTATATATAATTTTATAGTGACATATAATTTATACATTAAAAAACTACATCTATCACTAAATATCAACATGAAATTCAATTCATTAAGTACCCATAATAAATTTGAATATATAGAGAAAATAAAATAAAATTTTATAAGATCATAACATAAATTTTAAAATTACAATAATAGAGAAATAAATTATGAATCATTTAAAATTTATTCTACTATGTAAATACGTTTTAAATAATAAATTTATTAGCACATAAAAAATAAGTTTAAAAATAAAGCAATAATAAAAATTAACTAAATTAATAAATAATATTATATTGTTTTCATATAAATTACTCAAGATATGATCAAACCCTAACACATTCAGCTGCAACACTCTCAAGTCTCACCATCTACACTCTTTCTCCTTCCGCCGACAATGTTCAGAAGAACACAAAAAGAAGAAAAAAAACATTTTTTATTTTGATTTTTTTTCTCCTTTCTTCCTTAAATCCTTCAACTCAAACATCTTCTTCTTACAAACCAACTTCAGAGAGGAGAACACAATTTCCGCTGATTATTATTATTGCCATAAACCGGGTTTCATAGCCGGTTTTCACCGGTCCATAATCATTCTGCCCGGTTTTTTGGCTTTCGCGAGTTTTACAGTCGAACCGGACCGGACCAATAACCGGTTCGCGGTTGAACTGGTTGAACCGGCCGGGCCGGTCCGGTCCGGTTATGAAAACATTGCTCTCAATCTCTCGCAGCCCTATTTCCGCTCTACAAGTTTCCTATAATTCTCCAATAGAATCTATATCAATCTCTCGCAGCCCTATTTAGTTCCCTTCTAAAAGTTAGGTTTTCTGTAATTCTGAACTATATAAATCTCTCTCAATCTCGCGCAGTCCTGTAATTCTCCAAGAACTATATCAATAATCTCTCGCAGGTCCTGTAATTCTCCAAAAACTATATAAATCTCTCTCAATCTCTCGCTCGCAGTCCTAAGAACTATATAAATCTCTCTCAATCTCTCGCAGCCCTAATTCCTTTTCTAAAAGTTTCCTATATCTCCAAGAATCTCTATAAATCTCTCTCAGCCCTATTTCCCCGCAAATCGATTTTTCCCTATTCCTACACATCTCCCCGTCTACCTGAGCCATCACCGCCGGCGAACTTCTGCCGCCATCTCACCCTTGCTGCAGGTTGAACCCGTATTATTTTAATTTGTATTTTATTCTCGTTACTCTGCTAATTTAATTGTCAAATACGATGATGGTAAATACAAAAATCTCGACTTTTTGTTTTTTTGGAGCAACGCGTTTTTTCAAGTTTTCAAGACCATAGCTTTTCTATGTTTTCTATGTTTATCAAGTTTGTATTGCTTTTACTTGCCTTTCTATTTATTTATTTATTCTAATTTGTGTGATTTAACCCAATGTAATGCTTAGCTCGAAAACGTGAAATCGTTCTGTTTTTAAGTCTTGTTGCTTTTCATTGTATCGTCTACATTCATAATCTTATATGTATTTCCTCCCCTAGTTTTCTGCTTTAAAGGTCTAGCAATTGATGGATTAATCAATAAATGCCCAATTGTGTTGTGTTGAGTGATTTGAGGAGTAAGATTTTGATGAGGTCGTTCGTCGTGCCCAAGTCTGTAACTTTTTTCCGTTTTGTAATTTCAGGAGGAAGATACTCGATAAATAATTTCTCACCGCAACCTGAAATTAACAAAAAAGCAAAGAAGGAAAGATGTTTTTTCACATAGTATTGGAGCGAAACATGCAGCTGCACCCTCGTCACTTTGGCCGTGATATGAAAGATAAGCTTGTCTCCAAGCTCATGAAGGATGTCGAAGGCACTTGCAGGTTTATTAAATCCCGCAGTTTACAGTTTCTCTATTTTATTTATTTAGGATTACATGGTTTATCCGATGCTTGACCATATTAACTGTTATTTATTGTTTTATCAGTGGTCGCCATGGGTTTATTGTGGCAATAACTGGCGTTGAGAGTATCGGGAAAGGGTTAATCCGTGATGGGACTGGATTCGTTACCTTTCCTGTTAAGTATCAATGTGTTGTATTCCGACCCTTTAAAGGCGAGATTCTGGAAGCTGTTGTTACCATGGTTAACAAGGTTAGACACCCCCTCAACCCAACCCACCCCACCCCACCCGATAATTTTTGATCATTTGTTTGCGTTTATACATTGTACTTAAAATTGTTGCAGATGGGTTTTTTTGCTGAAGCTGGACCTGTCCAAATCTTCGTATCCAATCATGTTAGTGGCTTAATTTCCTCTTTTACTTTTCTTGTTGCTTATATATTTCTCCTAGACGTAGGATGGAACCATCTTTATTTGGTACTTGTCTTTCGTTTTTTTGTCGATTTATAAGTGCTTGTTACTGTGGTCCAGTTAAACTTTAGGGATTATGAGCATTTCTTGGGATTACTTGCCTCGGGTCCTTTTTCGATTCATCATGCTAATTTAACAATATAGCATATTATGAAAATATCTGTGTGATCGATACTCTGAGCAGACTCGGGTGATTCATAACTATTGTATTTCTAATTTTGATCGTGCTTTTGAAAATACATCTCCTTGTTAGAGGTGCCTTTACAGTTTGACTGTCATTAGTTATTTAAAAACTTCTCTCTTCATTATCGAAAGCTCGATTAAGGTTTGTTGTAATTATTTTAAAGTTTGTTGTGTACGTAATTCTAGAAGACCTTTGCATCTTTCTTTGAAATGCTCCGTTACGTATACTTCTGTTTTGTGGAGTTGTTTGTGATGGAAAACTATCAACCATCGTATGTATGCCTATGCTTCTAATAGTTAACAATACTTTGATATTTTGCCTTTTGGATTGTTTTCGAAACAAGTTTCGTTTGCAATTTTTTTCCTAATTCTGGCTTAATAGTTTCGTTCTAATTTGAAATTTCGATTTATTGTTTGTAGTTGATTCCGGACGACATGGAGTTCCAGACCGGAGATATGCCCAACTACACGACATCGGACGGATCCGTAAGAATCCAGAAAGAGAGTGAAGTCCGTCTGAAGATTATTGGAACCCGAGTCGATGCCACTGAAATCGTAAGTCTTCATATATTGATATTTCAAAAAAAAAAAAAATACTTTGCTCCCACTGAAATCGTAAGTCTTCATATATTGATATTTCAAAAAAAATAAAAATACTTTGCTCCCGGCTCCCGACTATAGTTGTGTCAGAATTCTGTGTTTTGTGGCTCTAATATTTTTTCCTTATTATCGCAGTTCTGTATTGGCACGATAAAGGATGACTTTTTGGGCGTGATAAGCGATCCAGGCTCGACCTCGTGAAGTTGATTCCGTGATTCCGTGATTCCGTTTCAAGATTCCGTATTCCGTTTCAAGATTCCGTTTCAAGATTCCGTTTCAAGATTCTTTCAATTCGACCTCGACCGTGTTGAATCAATCGTATGTAATGTTAGAACGTGTGTTGATGTTTAGCAATATTATAGGAAAATCATAAATATAGTTGGTAATATCTTTTACTAAATGTTTGAATATTTTTCAACTGCATTTCTGGATATTTGTGCCAACTTGCCCTTGTGCAAAAAAATAATTTAATTAACAAAACAAAAATTATGCTGAAGCAGTTGTATGTATATGCAGTGGATATTGTAAAACATTGTGTGATTGAAAATGAAAAAAATACACACAACAATAAATATTCCGACAATAAAATTTGATTGTGCTAGAAAACCGTGGATAGAAGTTTCTAATTTTTAAATTAAATAATAATAAAATAAAGGGTAAATTACGGTCCGATTAAAAAAAAAAAACTCAATCATGTTTGGATAATTACAACTACTCCTCAGAGGTGGATCCTCTATATGTATAGGGGGTTGTTGCCCCCCAATAATTTTACATGTTCCAGTATATATATATGAAATTTGTTAATTGAAATATTAACTTGGGTAGTTTAATTTTTCTTTAAAATCTGCTAGATTACTACTATCGAGAATAAAAATTCAAACCCCATTTTTATATGATAAGGTAATAATGTATATTATTTTTTTAATTTTATTTAAGTTTTAAAGAGGAGAGAATTTTAAAACGAGTAAAGTTATCAAAATAGGAATAAATTTTATAGTACGTTTCTTCCCTATTATTTTTTTTTGGGGAAACTACAGATAAATCCCTAATCCAAAACTCAACACACAGATCAGTCCCTAGGTAGTTTCCCCAAGCAATTCAGTCCCTATTCACGCGTCTGACATGCAGTTCAGTCCCTAATGTGAATTTTATATATTTTATTATATTCTCTCTCTTCTTTTTCACTCTCACCCTTTTCTCTCTCTTCTTTTTCTCTCTCTTCATCTTCTCTTTCTTTCTTCTCTTTCTTCTCTGTTTCTACTGCTCTCTTTCTTCTCTATTTTTTCTCTCTTTCTCTCCTCTGATTTCCTCTTTTTCCGACGAAAAAATCACTGTAAAACCCACCCACCCCACAATGGTTTCGAATCCCGGAAGGTTATTTTACTGTTGCCCACACCATGGCTACTCCCATTGGTGTGAACCATTTGAAGTTGGGCAAACTTTTTCCAACTCAAATCGTGAAGAAAATGAAGCTACAAGTGCGTCGATGAACCAAGTCCATCAAGAAAGTGAAGTGAAGAATTGCAATTCTGAAGGTGGAGTAGTTCATAGTTTGATAGTGTTGAATCTAGTAATATTTGCAGTCTACATGCTATGTAAAACCTATGTACTGTTGTTTAATTAGTGAACATAAGAGTACAATGTATAAGCTGGTAAAGTTCGGGTTATTCGTGAATATAGTACGCTTTGTCCACCAAATAAGTACAATGTATAAGCTGGTAAAGTTCGGGTTATTCGTGAATATAGTACGCTTTGTTCACCAAATAAGTACAATGTATAAGCTGGTAAAGTTTGGGTTATTCGTGAATATAGTACGCTTTGTTCATCAACTAAGTACAATGAATACACATGTGAAGTACAAGTGATTCGTGACTATAGTACGATTTGTTCACTGATAAAGTATATGTTTGCCATTTATATAGTATTGTTACAGTCTATATATTATTGTCGGTCCAATGCATCCATATGATCGCATTTTAAGACACAACTCTTCATTTTAAGACTATTAAGAATGAATGGAGACAATGTGGGAGTTGATCAATATCGATTATGGTAACAATTGAAGAAAATATTAGTTTTACACTTGAGCATTGTAGACATGTATGAAATTCAACATATTTATGGGATCTTGTATTCCAAACGCAACAATAATTCTCACCTACCTTAAAATAACCATCTAAAACATAATTTATGCATCTCCAGTACTTATTGATCATTAAAGCGTCAATGAAATTGGTACAATTCAATTCATCAAAAAATATGGTACGCTTTGTTCATCAAGTAAGTACAATGAATACACTTGTGAAGTACAAGTGATTCGTGACTATAGTACGCTTTGTTCACTGATAAAGTATATGTTTGTCATTCATATAGTATTGTTACACTCTATTTATTATTGTCGGGCCAATGCATCCATATGATCGCATTTTAAGACACAACTCTTCAGTTTAAGACTATTAAGAATGAATGGAGACAATGTGGGAGTTGATCAATATCGATTATGGTAACAATTGAAGAAAATATTAGTTTTACACTTGAGCATTGTAGACTTGTATGAATATATTGTATAGTATATGAGTATCATGTATGAAATTCAACATATTTATGGGATCTTGTATTCCAAACGCAACAATAATTCTCACCTACCTTAAAATAACCATCTAAAACATAATTTATGCATCTCCAGTACTTATTGATCATTAAAGCGTCAATGAAATTGGTACAATTCAATTCATCAAAAAATATGGTACGCTTTGTTCATCAAGTAAGTACAATGAATACACTTGTGAAGTACAAGTGATTCGTGACTATAGTACGATTTGTTCACTGATAAAGTATATGTTTGTCATTCATATAGTATTGTTACACTCTATTTATTATTGTCGGGCCAATGCATCCATATGATCGCATTTTAAGACACAACTCTTCATGTTAAGACTATTAAGAATGAATGGAGACAATGTGGGAGTTGATCAATATCGATTATGGTAACAATTGAAGAAAATATTAGTTTTACACTTGAGCATTGTAGACTTGTATGAATATATTGTATAGTATATGAGTATCATGTATGAAATTCAACATATTTATGGGATCTTGTATTCCAAACGCAACAATAATTCTCACCTACCTTAAAATAACCATCTAAAACATAATTTATGCATCTCCCGTACTTATTGATCATTAAAGCGTCAATGAAATTGGTACAATTCAATTCATCAAAAAATATGGTACGCTTTGTTCATCAAGTAAGTACAATGAATACACTTGTGAAGTACAAGTGATTCGTGACTATAGTACGATTTGTTCACTGATAAAGTATATGTTTGCCATTCATATAGTATTGTTACAGTCTATATATTATTGTCGGGCCAATGCATCCATATGATCGCATTTTAAGACACAACTCTTCATTTTAAGACTATTAAGAATGAATGGAGACAATGTGGGAGTTGATCAATATCGATTATGGTAACAATTGAAGAAAATATTAGTTTTACACTTGAGCATTGTAGACTTGTATGAATATATTGTATAGTATATGAGTATCATGTATGAAATTCAACATATTTATGGGATCTTGTATTCCAAACGCAACAATAATTCTCACCTACCTTAAAATAACCATCGAAAACATAATTTATGCATCTCCCGTACTTATTGATCATTAAAGCGTCAATGAAATTGGTACAATTCAATTCATCAAAAAATATGGTACGCTTTGATCATTGACTGCAATCTTCTTTTACATCAATTCCTGCAATTACATACACATAAAACTACAATTATAACAAATACAACGTACTATAAAGTTCCACATGTCAATACCATCCAAAGTTACTAGTAATACCATTCAAAGGCACTAGTAATACTATTATGGCATATGACTTATACTACAGGACCATCAAACATTATACTTCTAGTACCATATGTCAATACCATCCAAAGTCACTAGTAATACCATTCAAAGGCACTAGTAATACTATTATGGCATATGACTTATACTACAGAAGCATCAAACATTATACTTCTAGTACCATATGTCAATACCATCTAAATGCTTTCGGGACAGTACTTCGAGTACCCTGTGTCAATACCATCTAAATGCATTATTAATACCATTACTGTCCATGACACATACTATAGAACCAGTACGAAAAATACAATAAGCCTCTTTCCCATATCCTATATGAAACCCTTGTTAAACCCTTTGGGGACATGCTAATGTCACCGAAGAATAATACCCATGAGGAAACTGTTACAAAATCATGAAATTCGACAACAAATAAATGATATTTGCAAACCCAAACAACAGAAAAACAGATATTGGAACCGATTTAATGATTAGGGAAAACACCGAATAAAGTCGAGGCATAATACCCATGAGAGGATATGTTCAAAATCATGCAATTCTACAACAAATAAACCTTTTTGCAAGCTTAAGCAACACCCAAATGGGTCTGTTTCCCAAGAAAATGAAAGAAAAAAGAAATCAAACCTTGTTGTTTACCCTGCTAAGGTAATAATGTATATTATTTTTTAATTTTATTTAAAGTTTTAAAGAGGAGAGAATTCTAAAACGAGTAAAGTTATCAAAATAGGAATAAATTTTATAGTACGTTTCTTCCCTATTAATTTTTTTTTACAGGAAAATGCGGTGAACTTAAACACAGGCAGTTGGTCGAATTGCCACGTGTGACTACCCCTCCCAACAATCTTGGAGCACAGAGAAACGCGGTCCCACGTTCTTTTGTTTGTCCGTTGGACAACAGCCCATTGTCTTGAAATTTTCCGCGAAAATCAAGATTTCTCCCTTCTTTTTATTTTTTTTCTCTAAATATTAATCAATAAAAAAAAAAAAAATTGATCATTTTTTGTGGCTTCTACTTTCTTCAAGCTGCAACAAAAAAATATTAAAAAATAATAAAAATAAATCCTCCATTTATCTTGCTGGCGTATACAATCTTTCCTTTCAGTGGTGGTTCCTCCTCCCTTTTCATTTAATCTGCAATTTCTCTTTCGACAAACCTACAAATTTCTTGATTTTCCATTCGAAAATCCCAAGAAAATTTTGAAGGGTTTGTGCAAGATCGAGTCTTTGCAGATACAAACCACATTTCCCGCCAATCCCATCACCATTACCACAATCTTTTTCGTCTTTTCTCAATTCAAATTCATAATCTCTGAATTGGGATTTATTTCATAGACAATAATTTATCTGGGATTTTTTATTTCTTGATAAAGATTGGATCTTTGACTTCAAATCGGTTGCTTGTGGTGGTGGGTCGGGTCGGGTCGGGTCGGGTCAGATTGATTTCTTTTTTGATTTTCGCATTGTTGGTTAAAGATCCCGAATTTTGTATTTGGATCTAATTATTGGGTGTTTTTTTTTATAGATAATTTTAAATTTTTTGGTAGTTTGCTTTATTAGATTTTTAACATAATAAATAGGAAAAATGGGGAAAGCCGGAAACCAGAAGAGCCTGTACGGAGACAAATGGCGCGAACTATACCTCCGACAAATGCGGGTCGCCGAAAGCACGTCAACGACGTTCGACCGAGACGCAGCCATGTTCATGTCGGTTTCGTACGAGTTAAAAGACGAAGGCAACCGGTTGTTCCAAAGACGGGACTACGAAGGCGCGCTTTTGAAATACGAGAAGGCGATCCAGCTCCTCCCGTCGAACCACATCGACATATCCTCGTTAAGAAGCAACATGGCCGAGTGCTACATGCAGATGGGCATGATCGAGTACCCTCGTGCGATCCACGAGTGCAATCTAGCTTTAGAGGTCACGCCGATGTATAGCAAGGCGTTCTTGAAACGGGCTCGGTGCTACGAGGCTTTGGATAGGCTCGATTTGGCTCTTAGGGACGTTCGGACGGTCCTCAAGTTGGAGCCGAACAATCTCATGGCGAGCGAAATCGAGGAGAGGTTGAGAAAGACGTTCGAACGAAAAGGGTCGAGGATTGCCGAAATGCCCGTCGATTTGGTTCCTTTGCCCGATTACGTCGACGAGCCGCTGCAGAAACAGGGGAAGAAAATCGATGAATTTAGTGAAGAGAAAAAACAGGGGAAAGTTGAGAAAATCGAGGTTCGGATAGAGGAGAAGAATACCGAAGATAAGTTGGTTGTTGAGGAGAAAATTAGTAGTACTAGTGCTTCGGTGGATGAGGCTAAACGAACGGTGAAATTGGTTTTCGGGGAAGATATAAGATGGGCTCAAATCCCTCTTAATTGTGATATTTTTCGAGTGAGGGAGATTATTTCCGATCGATTTCCGACCACGAAAGCCGTTCTTGTCAAGTACAAGGATCAAGAGGGCGATTTGGTCACAATCACAACAACCGAAGAGTTGAGGTGGGCCGAGGCTTCCGTGGGACACGGTTCGTTAAAGCTTTACGTTATCGAAGTTAGCCCCGATCAAGATCCGTTTTTTACGAAAATTAATAGTACTCGAGAAAAGCTCGAAAAGACGACAACCTTAAACGGGCTTATCGGCAAGAGAAAGGAGCTGCAAACGGAGCCGACTTGTATAAGTGATTGGATCATTCAGTTTGCTCAGTTCTTCAAATACTACGTCGGATTCGATATAGACGCTTACATAGACATACACGAAGTGGGAATGAAGCTCTACTCCGAAGCGATGGAAGAAACGGTCACTAGTGAAGAGGCGCAAGATTTATTCGACACCGCAGCCGATAAGTTCCAAGAAATGGCGGCTTTGGCATTGTTCAATTGGGGCAATGTACACATGTCTCGAGCGAGGAGAAGGGTTTACTTCAACGAAGAATCTTCTCGAGATTCCGTTCTCGAAAAAATAAAATCCGGTTACGAATGGGCTCAAGAAGAATTTGTCAAAGCCGGGACGAGATACGAAGAGGCGTTGAGAATCAAACCCGATTTTTACGAAGCGGTTCTTGCTTTAGGGCAACAGCAATTCGAACAAGCAAAGCTGTCTTGGTACTATGTAATCGCGACCGAGGTTGAATTGGAAAGTTGGCCTTCGGGCGAAGTGCTCATGCTTTATAACAACGCGGAGGAGAATATGGAGAGGGGTATGCAGATGTGGGAGGGTTTGGACGAGAAGCGGCAGAGCGAAATGTTTAAACGGAACAAAATCGAGACTTTATTGCAGAAGATGAAATTGGACAATTTGTTTAAGAAACACGTGAGCGCTGACGAGGCGGAGGAGCAGGCTTCGAATATCCGGTCGCAGATATTCGTTTTGTGGGGTACGATGTTGTACGAGAGATCGATTATGGAGTATAAGTTGGAATTGCCCGTATGGCACGAGTGTTTGGAGGTTGCTATCGAGAAATTCGAGCTCGCGGGCGCTTCCGCTACCGATATTAATGTGATGATCAAGAATCATTGTTCGAACGGTACTACTTTAGAAGGTGAAATGTTCGAAAAAGAAAAAAAAATCGACTTTCTTTTTTAGTTTTGTTTTTATTGATTTATTTATGTGAATGTAGGTTTGGGATTCAATATTGACGAGATAGTGCAAGCGTGGAACGAGATGTACGAAGCGAAGAAATGGCAGACGAACATTTCTTCGTTTCGATTGGAGCCGTTGCTTAGGAGACGAGTTTCGAAGCTTTATTATGCCCTTGAAAGTGCATAATATCCTCACATGCAGGGTAAGAACCTTTTTTTTTTTTTTTTTTATTTATAATAATTGCTATTTATTTTATTTTATATTATGGTAAATTTAAGGTAATTAATAATTGAATTGAATTGCAGATTCAGCTATGATTGATAACTTCATTGTTATGAGCATTTGTTTGAGGCTGATTTGTGTAATGTAATCCTTTGGTTAGGAACTAATGATGGAGACAATGAATAGTCTTTTTATTTATTTTTTATTTTTAATTTTGTTTAATTTTATTTTATTTTATTTAATTTAATGTTTCTATGGAAGATTCTTTTTTTGTCCTGGATTGGACTATATAGTTGAGACCTTCAACAAACACTTGCAGAAGTTTTATAATGAATTACATTTGCCTCATCTTCTATTGACTGATAATTAAATAATTGAACTTTATTTGATGGTTGATCAGTTCGGTAATTTATGGGCGCATAATTACTTTGAATGCAAAAATTCATAATAAATGATACAACAAAAAAATAAATCACTCAAAGCATGTTACGAACACGCAATTTTGTAACATAAAACGCTCGTAAATTGAAAGGAAATTCGATTGAAATCCCAAATTCAAAATGGATATATAGGGTTCTTAGTAAAACATGGATATCAAAACGACACCGTTTGCTCCCCTCCTCAGCAACGCCAAAAGCGCTAGTTAAAATACTCAACTCCACCGTGTTTTTATAAATTTAAAACGTCGTCGTTTACAAAGCATTAAAATTAAATTAAATTAAAAAACATTTGACGGGCCGGATCCGTTGTTTTGTAAGCCCAATGGGCTTTGACCCGGCCCATTAGGCTTCACCTTTCTGTACATAACAAAAGTATTATTCGAGTGCGTACACATTTCGCAGCAACAGAGAAGCGGAAAAACCGAAGAGAGAGAAGAGAAGAAAAAACCCTCTTACCGCCATGGCCGACGAGGATTATGAAATGGACGGAGGGTTAGCAAATTCTTCGAATTTAATTTCCCCTAATTTCGCTACTTATACTCTTTTCTTTGTTTTCTCACCGTAAATGAATAAATCACTTCTGTTTTTACAAATTAGGGTTTAGCCCGGGTTTATTTTGTAAAATGTAACCTTGATTTTTGTAGGTACGAAGATGAGCCGATGGAGCCGGAGCTTGATGTGAGTAATTTTATTTTTAAATTTACATTGTAATACACTCGTCTAGTTACTTGATGATTTGTGGAGTTGGTAAATGTTAGTGTAAGTTTTTTGATGAAGTGTTCGTTCAATAATATTTGTTAATGTTTTTTTGGGTTTAATTATTGAATTGATAGGAAGGGGTAGAAGTGGAAGAAGATAATGAAAACCCTGATGATGTTCCAGACCCGATTGAAGGGGATGGTGAGGAGAAGCAGGAGCAAGAGCCCGTCGAACGGCCTCGTAAAACGTCTAAGTATATGACCAAGTATGAGCGGGCCAGGATTTTGGGCACACGGGCCCTGCAGATTAGGTTTGGGATTTAATGTATATTTGAAGCTTTAATTTGGTAATTGTGCTTACTTTTGGAGTAGTTGAGTTGATGTTGATTTCGGTTGGATGTGATTTTGCAGCATGAATGCTCCTGTGATGGTGGAGCTCGAGGGTGAAACGGACCCTTTGGAGGTAAAATGTTTAAGAACTTTTATCTGAAAATTGACATTTTGTTTTTGTTGTTTACTTTTGAGGCACTTTGATATTGGAGTTGAAGTTCTTAAACGAGATATGTGACTTTGATTATTGTGCGATTTTGAATTCTATGGTGTTCTGTTTCGGATTAGCCCTCGAGTTATATGTTAAGGTCAAGATGTTTACCGTTATTTAGTATGGATTCATGTGTAAACCACTATGCTGAAATACTTATCAAGATATTGTCGTGCGTTTTTATAAGCTAATTTAATGTGATACGAGGCAATTCTTTACTTATATCAGATGACGAGAGACGTATGAAGTTTATATAGTGAGGGAACTACCATTGCTAAAGCAAGCTCTTGATTTTGAATTTCTCCGTATGCTCATTTCAGTAAATGATTATGCTTATCTAGGCTGGGGTAAGAGCAGATGTAGGTTTCAAATTGCATAATAGTGTAAGACAATGTCGTTGTTTGAGTAAAGACTGGAACCATTGTCGATCAAAGTCACTAGATTTTATTTATTTTCCTTGTACCTACCTCCTACATGTGTTATCGAATAGATTTTATTTATTTCCATTGTACCTACCTCCTCCATGTGTTATCGAATTACAAAGCATGGATATCAAATTTATGTTGTAAGCTGCTGCTAGGAAACACACTGGTTCTCCACCATTTGAGTAATTTCCTTTTTAGCGTGCAAGTGGCTCCGACCTCAATCGACCATGTTGATTTAGCCCAACCTCGAGTCACTGTTTAAAGAATGATCAATTGCTTTACTTTCTTAGAATTACTAACTGTGCAACATACTTTAAATAAGATCAGTTCTATTTAGCGAAAGAAAAAAAAACTGGTATCAACCTTAAGAAAGTTTGTGTGAGGGTTGTGGTTACTGGAAACGTATCCGAATTGTTTGTTAGGGAAGTGGTTAAAGAAAATTATTTTAAGTGATGTTGAATAATTTGTGCATTTGGATCCATCTCTTAAAGCATGCATTTCGTTTTTTGAAACATGCCCAATTCAGTTCCTTTTTTGATGTCTCTTATCCATGTTATATTTCATCTCAGATTGCAATGAAAGAGCTTCGTGAGCGAAAAATACCCTTCACAATTCGTCGTTACCTACCTGATGGAAGGTAAAATCCTGTCTATTTTTATTACAGATTTTGCAAGGCATCTTTCGTGTAATATTTATTACCATGAAATGATGAAATCTTATTTAAAAATGGATTATAATCTTTAATCCCTTGATTTCAGCTACGAAGATTGGGGAGTCGATGAATTGATTGTGGAAGATTCGTGGAAAAGGCAGGTTGGGGGTAACTGAAAATGGCTGTTCCTTGTTGCTCAAGACATTTTCGATCTATTTAGTGAGCGCCGATTTGTGTACAAAAATTTGTTAATCAGAACCTAGTACCTTAAAAAAAAAAACAAGTTAATGTTTGCCGTCTTGCTCTTTCCTACGTTGTTGTTACTAGGTTTTTGCTTATGGTCCAAGAAATCAGTCTCGTCTTTGTGTTCGAACTCGTGAGAGTAAAAACACCACTCGTATTATCTTGAACCGTTCTATTTGCGATTTTATAACGTTGTTGGATTTTAGCATTGGCGCAGTGACGCGGTCTATTTTCATTAAACCAGTGCCTGATTTTTTTTTTCTTTTTTAAAGATTTTAGCAACTATCAATCGACTTAACTATGTATGGGTTTGTTGAAATTATCGATCTAACTTTAATTGACATTGGATTGAATACGGATGAAGAACACCCTGTAAGTTTTTGTTCGTTTTTGTTAGGATGTGGTTTGCATGGCAAAAAACGTTTTTGTTCGTAAAAACGTTTTTGTTATGAATTACCGTATTAGTAATCGTTTTTACGTGTAAACTTCATAACACTTTTAGATTAGGTGTTGATTTGACTTTGTAGAGTTGTATAAGTTTACCTAATGACGATTGAACTGTGAGAAATGCTAAATGGATTAGGTCATTTGTCTTTGCCTACTACAAGAAGCAAAGATTTGGTGGCCTAAACTAACTTTCGAACTTACTTTTTATACTAATTTTAGGTGTAAGTTTATATTTTCGCATGTGTTAAAACGTGTTGTATAGGGGTAGAATCGTCATATCACTCCCAGATATTTCTACAGACATCAGATCTGTTAATCTTGTCCAGCTAATGAACATAAAATTGTACTTTTTTGCTACTAAGTATGATGTGCTGCATATAATAACACACACTCATGTGTACATTTGCTTAGTACGTAATTATTTATACAAATTTATATTTCAAAATCACTGAGTGAATACACCAAATGTAGCATCTTATATATGTTGAGAAATATGCAATGGAAAAAATTCAATCTCATATCCAATTTACACTTGAATTCATTACATGATCCACTAACATAAATTCGTGACTATCTTGTCCAGAAAAATATAGGTAAAATTATAAAACTAATAATTTCACACAGACTTCTAGGTGAGTAGATAATTATAAATTTCAGAAATATACTTTTATATTATAAAAAAAAAAAGATGAACATGGTTTTGACTCGTGACATCATTTATTATAATAATGTCGAAAAGATAAACTGGCATAGCTTTATAACATTTCACATTCTTCCCACTTGTCACCCCAAATATCAATCAATGAATGTAACAATAATAAACATCGGTGTATTTTCAAATTAATTTTCTAAAGTGTTTCTTTTTCTAATACATTTAGACGTAATTTGATAGATGTGATATTGTTAGGTCAAAATTACAGTCATCCCATAAGATAAAATCAAATTACGCTCCTCTTTGGATAATTACAACTTCTTCAACTATGAATCTTCTTACAAGTTCACTTTTACGGTGTCAAAATTCAACAGACCCTTTTAAACTCCGTGAAATGTTATCTAGTTTGTAATCGTTTTGTGCACAAATGCAATTTTTGATGCACCAGAATCTAATATTTACAAACCAAGAGAGACATCTTATGATCATCTTGTTTCAAAATGTTAAGCTAGAACGCGGTAAAATGGGTATAAACTGGAGAATATTTCACATAAGCTAAAGGATTCTACTAAATTTGACACTGCAATAATGGACAAATTGTAATTACCGAAACAAGAAGGGGTTTTCCGTAATTTAACCTTACCTCAGGGGTGACCATAATATAAATATACAATACTTTAAAATTCAAATTATGCACCCACCCAAACTTTTTATCCTAAAAACCATCTTAAACCAATACATACAAAGCATTCAAAAGGCTTAGATCATATATTTTGTTTGTTAGTGGAAGTGTTAATGGCGAAGATATTGGAAGTTGAGATATGGAAACCCCACAAACACAACTTCACCCATTCCAATTCAGCTATTCTTCCATACTTGTTTTTCCCTTTTCCTCTGCTCCTCTCCAATCCCTTTATATTGCACTTTTCTTCAAGCAAAGCACATTTTTTGTTTCCAGTGGGCCCCACACTTCAAACAAACACTCCAACATTATTTCTTTCTTCAAAATCAAGAATCTCTGGTTTCATTTCTCAAACATCTCTTTCTTTCTTTCTTTCTTTCTTTTCTTCTTCTTGCTTATATAAGCTTCCAATGGGCAAAAGATCTTTTAATGGGCACTTTTAAAAACGTGTAAAGTTGTAATCTTTATAATGGGTTTTATGGGGATAGGATTGTAGTTGAGTTATTGATTGTGGGTTTTTTGTTAGAAAGATGAGTTCTTTGGTTTGGTTTCTGGTGTTTGTGGTCTGTGGTTGTAGCTTTATTTGTGATGTGAAGGGTAGTGTGAGTGTTGAGGGCACTGTTGTAATTGATGGGGAAAGCCCCATTGCAGAGACAGATGAAAATTTCGTATGTGCAACGTTGGATTGGTGGCCGTCTGCAAAGTGTGATTATGGAAATTGTAGCTGGGGCAATGCTTCTCTCTTCAATTTGGTCTCTCTCTCTCTCTCTCTCTCTCTCTCTCTCTCTCTCTCTCTCTCTCTCTCTCTCTCTCTCTCTCCAATATACTGTGTGTATGTGTGTATATCTCTCTCTCTCTCTCTCCAATATACTGTGTGTATGTGTGTATCTCTCTCTCTCTCTCTCTCTCTCTCTCTCTCTCTCTCTCTCTCTCCAATATACTGTGTGTTTGTGTGTGTATTCTCTCTCTCTCCCTCTCTCTCTCTCCAATATACTGTGTGTATGTGTGTATATATATCTCTCTCCAATATACTGTGTGTATTCTATCTCTCTCTCTCTCCAATATACTGCGTGTTTGTGTGTGTGGGTGTATCTCTCTCTCTCCAAATATACTGTGTGTTTTGTTTGTGTATGTGTGTATCTCTCTCTCTCTCTCTCTCTCTCTCTCCAATATACTGTGTGTTTGTGTGTGTATGTGTGTGCTTAAAAGTACTTTTAGTTTGGATTTTGGTGTTTGGAATGAAACACAGTATAATAGATTTTTGTATTTTGTAATTGTTGAATCAAGAAAATGGGGTTGAATTCTAAAGAACAGGGCTTAACATGTGTTTGTTTCGATTTTCTCGACTTTCCTCGAAAAATTACCGTAGTTGTTGTTAGCGCAAGTTTTCCAATTTGATGCTGTGATGATAATTACAAAGGAATTCATCTCTTTCATCTATTTTTTCGAGTGCAGGATCTCAAGAACGTCGTGTTCTTGAATGCGGTCAAAGGTACATTAATTAGATTCCTTTTAAATTATTCGCTTCACCAATCAAACAAAATCAAAGTATAATTTTCAATCAAAAATCGTGTAGCCTTTTCGCCGTTGAAGATCAGATTAGGCGGCACTTTACAAGACAAAGTCATCTACCAAACCGAAGATAATAAACAGCAACCATGCACTCCGTTCGTCCAAAACTCGTCTCGACTATTCGGTTTCACCGAAGCTTGCCTCCCGTTGGCTAGATGGGATGAACTAAATTCCTTCTTCAATCAATCCGGGTAAAACAAACTAACAAAAGTAAATTCGAAGTAATATACGTACATTTCAAGAAACGATGCTGATTTTTAAAACTTGTATTTTCAGGGCTCTCGTTATTTTCGGACTGAATGCTCTTCACGGAAAATCGATACAAGCCAACAACGTAGCAACGGGCCCTTGGGATTCCACAAATGCCGCTTCTCTCATTCGTTACACCATCAAAAAGGGTTACAACATCTACGGTTGGGAACTCGGTAAATAAATAAATAAATTAAAATTAAATTAAAAATCACCACATTCTATAGTCGAAAGTTTTTCGTTCAGTTGTTACTTTGTTTCGTGGCAGGAAATGAACTAAGCGGAAACGGAGTAGGCGTACGAATCGATGTGGATCCGTACGCGTCAGATACTATCACTCTGCACGGTTTAATACAAGATATATACAGCAGAAATAATATTATTACGAAACCTCAGATTATTGCACCCGGTGGATTCTTCGATTATAATTGGTTCCAACAATTCCTATCCAAAACCGTCGGATCGTTAGATTCTATCACCCACCATATATATAGTCTCGGCGCAGGTATACTTTTCAAAACCTTCTTAAACCTCTTTTGGTTGCTAAGATAATCCATAATCCATATATATATATATATAAAAAATTTGAATTTTGTTTGTTGTAGGAAGTCAGGGTAACTTGGTAGAAAAGATTCTAAATTCAACGGTTCTTGATAATGGAGCCGGTGTGTTTAGGGATCTTAACAACATTGTCAAGAAATCGCAAAACCCGGCTTCCGCATGGGTCGGTGAAGCCGGTGGAGCTTACAATAGTGGTCGGGATGGAGTTACAAATACATTTGTTTTTAGTTTTTGGTAAATTGAATTTTCGAGTTTTGCAACTTGCATCACTTTTTTTTTCTCGGGTTTAGTATCTGCTAACAGCTGACACCGATTTTTTTTTTTAAAATAGGTACTTGGATCAATTAGGTGCATCGTCGACTTACGACACGAAGACTTATTGCAGGCAGACGTTAATCGGTGGTAACTATGGTTTGCTTAACACAACCACGTTCGTTCCAAACCCAGATTACTACAGGTTAAGTGATTCTTGATATTACGGAAAGACTACAATACCCTTAATATAACAAAAGACGATCGACAATTTCCCCTTCTTTCTATTGTAGTTTCGTTTCATATTTTTTTTGCTTACATCATCAAATTTCGACCGAAGATCTAATAATCCGGTGGCCTTATTGTGCAGTGCTCTTCTTTGGCACCGTTTAATGGGCAAAAGCGTCCTTTCGACCAGCTTTACGGGCAGTAGAAAAATTCGTGCCTATGCTCATTGTGCAAAAAAATCTGTAAGTCTTTCAATATTCCAAAATACATACATATATATATATATATATATATATATATATATATATATATATATATATATATATATATATATATATATATATATATATATATATATATATATATATATATATATATATATATATATATATACTATATTTTTCTTCTCACAAATATTTATTATTAAAAAAAAAAAAAAAAAAAAACTCTTTATATTCTTTTGCAGCAAGGCATTACATTATTGCTTATAAACATAGACGGCAACACAACCGTAAATGCGAAAGTCGACATACACGGTAGAGTGGTGCGCATGCAAAACCATAGTAATATTCATCCCCACCATCACATGCCACGTCATCATCACCGTAGATCGAAAGGGACTCCATTACATCACAATAAACAAGTGTCTGCAAATAATGTGAGAGAAGAGTATCACTTGACTCCTTTGGGCGGAGATATTCACAGTCAAACGGTTTTGCTGAACGGGAAAAAACTGACCGTTGATTCTTCGGGAGTTATACCTGCCCTTGATCCTGTTACGGTGGATTCATTGGAGCCGTTAATCGTCGCGCCTTACTCGATCGTATTTGTCCACATGCCAAACTTTGATGTTTCAGCATGCATGTAGATAATTAATTTATCAAAATAAAGATGATTTTTAGTTGTTTAATTAATATATATATTTTTCGACATTGAAGGGATTATACGACCCCTTTCGTGTTGAAATTTGAAGATAAACGGTTCAATAGACGCTCATATAATTGTAATTGTTCGTATCTGGACAGAAATCTCTTACCACAGCACCTTATTAAACAGGCTGTAGTAAGGAAGCCATACAAAATTTACAAATTACATATTTTGTAATAAAAAATATTTAAGAAAATCCTATGATATTTTTGTATACATGGTATTATTAAATATAGAATATAATAAACCTACTGCACAAAATTGGATTCTCGACCAAAATTCTTCGTCTGTAATAAATTAATCGGTCTTCGAGAAAGTTTGAGGTTTACTGCTAGCAAAAGCCAACCATACAACTGTACCGGTGAGGTAGAAGAAAATCGATGGAGCAAACAGCGACATCTATATTATAATAAATAAAATAAAAATTAAATTAAGAGGCAATAAAAAAAAATACATATCAACTAAATTAAAGTACTCGAAAAAAAGAACTAACCCCCCATGAGTGAGTTGAATCAAGAAGATAACCAGTAAGGGTAACACCGACAATTCCGGGTACTGCTCCAACAGTATTAGTAATGCCCTGCAATAATTTATTTTACGTAATTAATAATATTGAATACGCACTTCGATCAATAGAATTGCATCGGGCAAACTTTTTGGACCGAAAAATCGAATTCATATATATAATTAAATACATACCAAAAGAACACTTGCATATTCAGGTGAAATGTCTTGGTGTGTACAGTATAGTCCTGTGGTTCGACACGTTACAAAATTTAACATATTTCGGACAAATAAATATACTTCATCATGCATAAAAAAAGACAATTATTTACGCGATACCTGATAGTGCAAAACTCGATAATGCTAAGCCACCTGTAAGAATTGATACGAGTTCCAATGGACTTAGTCCTAAGTTCACTGACGAAAGAATCATGCAAGTAGCAGGTGATAGAAATGCAATCGTTTGGCAAATTTTCCGTACCTGTTAAGACATAAAGCATCGGGTTTATTATTTTTTATTTTTTATTTATTTATAATTAATTTTACAATGAAAAAAATATAGTTACCACTGTGGTTTCAACCCCTTTAGTGATCAAGTTGTCAGCTAATTGGGATGCAATGCTGGTTACGAAGATTGAAGCAAGAGGAGGAAGAACTGATACCTGCATTTGTTTATTATTTAAAAAAAAAAATTATATATAATGTTTCTTAATAGTGAGAAAATGCGAAGAGTCGAGTGTGGCTTCCTAATTTCTTTCCCTTTGTTCAACTTGATGAATTAGATCCATGTAGATCGGAAAAAAGATTCGTTCAAATTAAAATGAATTTAAAATCATGGCCATTAACGTATTAATATTATCGACTTACCCATGCAGCTTGTGTCAGATCAAGATTCAGCTCCTCACTGCAAAGGGATGTAGGATTTTTAATCTCGGAAAATGATAACTTGCACCAAAATAAACTGGTTTTTTTCCTAGATAAACTGCTTTATCGATATAAAAATAATTTAAAAAAATGAAAATTTAGTAAATAAAAGAAGCACCTGAAATATGTCGGAAGCCAAGCTAAGCAGGTGTAGTGCCCCCAGCTTCCACAAAAGTGAGCATAAATCATTGCCCATACAGCTTTTGATTTGAAAAATTCCTTCCAAGGTACATCCTGTATAATTTATTTTTTCACAAAATATAAACGATTAACTCAAAACTTTATTTAATTAGAAAAAGAAAAAAAAAAACTCGTAAATGACATATATATGTGCATGTATAGATACACTTACACTCAGGGAACCACCCAAATCTTTCAAAGAGGAATTTAATGACTTCTTCGTAGTGTCAGACTGAGGCCCTGCCGAAGATAAATTATCGGGAATTTTTTTTTTTAAAGTTAAAAAAAAAAAAATTATTGATTACAAGCTTTTATCATTTTCTCTATTTAAAATATAAAATTAAGGAAAAACAAAAAATATTACTATTACAAAAATAAATAGCATACCTGATAAGTAAGCAGCTTTTAATGGAGGCTGATCTTCTCCAACAAACTGAAATACCGAAAACCTGTAATTCAGTTTAAAAGATTTGAAGTAGTAGCAAACGAAAAAAGCCTCGATTAGTTGAAGTAATATCAATTAAACGTACATTTATTAGACGCAAAATATATTAAATCGATAACTTTTATCTTACCAAGCTATTCCCCAATGCGCCAAAAAATGTAAAAAAACGGACCCCCCAGCCATATTTTTGGATTAACGGAGGAGCCAAAAAGAAGCCTGCATACAAATCGTGACAAATGTAAATGCACGATAATACAAAACAACGAAGATTTAGTTTAGTGGTTAAATGATTATTAAATATTACCCCAATACACTTCCGACACTCAAACCACCAAAGACAAAAGATACTGCACGCGAACGCTCTTCTATTGGTATCGACCTGAAAAATAGTTCGTTATCAATGTTACATACATACATTCTAAGAGATTTTGATACTGTCGAATTATCTTAAACTTCTTTTTTTTTTTCCGATTTTGTTCGGTTTTATATAGTCCACGTTCAACAACATACCTGGCAATCATATCAGTGGCGGCAGATGGCGAAACGCCTTCTCCTATCCCAACCTAAATTGTTAAATAACTTATTACCAAAATTTAGCATGCAATAACTTCGATAAATACGATAAATTTAGCATTAAATAAATTATTACCAAAATTCTTGAAAAAATAAGCCCCGGCATAAACCCGGCAAGAAGAGGAACCAGTGCTGTAGCAAGTGACCAGACAAGAACACCCACTTTGAGAACTTTTCTGCATACGGACAATGTAATATCAATCGAAAAATAAATAAGCATTCAATTATAAATAAATTAGCACGATATCCCCCGATTTTTATCTTGTTCGGAGAGTTCTTGATTAATAAATAACTGTCATCGAAATTCTAAGGCAACGACGTCCTTTAAATTGCAAAAGAAAAGGTATAGAATATACGTTAATTTATACATAACGAGACGAACCTCCCACCGAAAACTTTAGCAAGCCAACCACCGGGCAACTGACTGAGTGCATAACCCCAGAAAAAAGACGACTGTACCAATCCGGCCATCGAAGCGTTCCACCCAAATTGATGCGACATCGGAATTATCGCAATACTCAAATTCACCTATTTCGATTTTCGGTACAACAAATTTAAGTAAGTAAAACAAGTAAACCCTAGTGATGACATATTGGACAATGCTTATATCAATCTAGGACCATACATTCAAAAATAGCAAGAACCCTAAAAAATCAACATGTTATAATAAAGGAAAAAAAAATTAAAAAATTGACCTTATCCATATTGCAGACAACGAAAGCAAGAGAAGTAGTTCCAATGAGCTTATATCTCGGGGGAAGATTCTCCCATGGCGGCCAATCCCAATTAAAACCCAATTCCTCATCGTCGCTCCCAATTTGCCCTAGTTCATCTTTCTCCTTCAATTCGCTGTCAACTTTGAACCCACTGAGTAATCTCTGTGTTTGTGAGGCGTTTCCCCTTTCCCTCTCTTTTACGCTGCATAAAACCCTAAATTTCAAGGTGTGCTTGAAGGGAAACCCATTGAAGGGCTGGGTTCTGACAGAAGCTCTAAAGGTTGAAGCTTTGATGCTTGTGCAGTGTGAGAAATTGGAGAAATTTCTGTCTGGGCTCGAGATTCGGGCCATAGTTACTTGTTCTTGATAATAATAATAAACGAGGAAAAATGTGAGAGGGTTTTGAACATTAAGTAAACACTGTGGCTTTGAACAATTGAAGGTGAAAATGGTGTGTGTGTGTGTGTGTGTGTGTGTGTGTGTGTGTGTGATCAGAAGAAGAGAGAAATTAACACGACATTTAAGAGGAAGGACGAAACTCTGCCACGGATTATTGCAGGTTTTTGTGGCGCCCAATTTAATTGGAGGAAAATACATAAACAATTTCTTTTTATTTTCCGAATATTACATTTTTTTTTTTATAAAACAGTTTTGGTCCCTCAAGTTTGCACCAATTTCATATTTGATCTCCTATTTTCACAAAAAACAGATATCAACCCTCATGTTTCAAAAATTCAATATTTTCCTATGTTCAAAAAAACAGATATCAACCCGCATGTTTCAAAAATTCAATATTTTTTAGTTATTTTTGTCAAATTTTTTTTGGTACTAACAGAATCAAGGGTGTGGGTTGTGGGCATCACTATCTTAACTAATGCAGTAATGGTGAATTGATGAGAAGGACCAAAAGTGTTGAATTATTGAAATATGAGGGACCAACTGTAATTTTTTGTGAACGTGGGATGGGGACCAAACATGTAATAAGTGTAAACTTGATGGGTGAAAATTTTAATTTTCCCATTTTTTTTTCCAAATATGTTAATGGAAATTATTTAATATTATTTGCTAAATTGTGCGTTTGTGTATGATTATGTCGTTAATATCTTGTAGGGGCATAATTGGAATATCTTAAAAACCAATGAAAGTGCAAAAAAATATTACAACATATTAAATAAATTGTCGTGTTATTAATACACAATTAAAAGGGTATATAACATGATACCTACAAATATTTCAAAAATCTTCAAATAAATTTCCCACGTGCCTTGAACCGCAGATTGTAATTGAGTAAATAATTATGTATTTCAATTTCATTTAGTTAGAAAACTAAACAAATTATTTTAGTACCAATAAAATAAAAATTAATGCAACGTACACGTGGTTATTTTAGAGACCACGTGGCCGATACATAACCATAGAAAGCTGACGTGCGTAAAGGCTAGAGGCGATCATCTTCTTCGCTCAGCTTTGAAGCTCCGACAGCATGAAATTAAATCATCACAATTGTAAAACAGTTAACTTTTTCCGTGGTGGCGGCGTCACGGCGGCGGGCGGCGGAGGGAGTTGATGTGATCTTCAAGAGCTTGGAGCATGTTAATTAATTAATTAATACGCATAATTATTTATAAACCAGAAATTAAATAATTAAACAAGAAACATGAGGAGATTAATGCTTACTTTCCATTCATACCTGGATGCGAAAAGTATTACTTGTCTTGGATATACATGCTTTCCAAATATCCTCATATCTCTCTCTCTCTCTCTCTTCTCTCTCTCTCTCTCTAGAGTAAATATGTTTTCTCAATTTCAATTTTTGGTGATCCATTCTCTCTTTTAAGGCGGGTGATTGAAATTAGGTGTGACAAATGAAATAAACTTAGCCCTATGGGGGCAAAACGGACATTTGAGTCTAGGAATTGTTAAAAAATACTGTGCATATATTGTGTACCGTTGGGTTGGTGGGGCAAAAGTCAAAGGAATCCAAAATGTTTTGAATAACAAATAGGATTAGGTTAAATTACAAAAATGTCACTCATGTTTGGGTAATTACAATCATTCCCCTCAACTATGAATTTTCTTACACGTTCATTATTGTGTGGTCAGATTTAATAAGATCTTCTAGATTATGTGGAATATTTTTCAATTTGTTCCCGTTTTACTCCATTTGAGCTCCACATTTTGAAACAATATGATTATAAGATGTGTCTTTTTAACGTGCAAATATCGGGATGTGGTGCTTCAAAAACTGCATTTTTATACAAAACTGAGTACATACTAGAGAAAATTCCACGGAATGTAAAAAATTCCGCTGAATTTGACACCACGAGAACGAACATGTAAGAAAATTTATAGTTGAGGGGTTGATTGTAATTACAAAAAAAGGAGGAATTTTTTCATAGTTATCTAGGAATGATCATCAAATCAATAATTCTATTTCGCCTCAATATAAATAAATACATACTTCGCCTTCCACTCTTTCCCCACAAACCATTAATCAACCTCATCAACAACTCCGATCTGTTGAACCGGGTTCAGGGAAAATAATAACATGGCCGAAGTCTCCACAAAACCGGAAGTTTGGAGCTGCAAAACGGTTCAAGAGGTGGTTGAAAATGGCGGCGAGCTACCCAGTAGGTATATTTGGATCAGAAATGATCGTAGTGATTATGGTCCAATAGATCTGAATGTTCCAGTAGCTACAGAAATCCCAGTCATTGACTTTACCAGATTACAGCTTTCATCTTCATCTTCATCGTCCGCCATTGATGAAGAGCTGCTCAAGCTCCGCTCTGCTCTCACCACATGGGGTTGCTTCCAGGTTTTTTTTTCTTTTTTTTTTTTTTAATTATTAATTCCAACTTTTCTTCAATTATTATGTATTCTTTTTTGAAGTATTTGATTTGATTTGATTATAATCGTTGGGTAAATCAGATTTGATTCTTGTTTAGTAGTACCTATATCATGATCTTCTTGGGATGTGCAAAGTTGACATCTTTGAAAAATTAATTAAATAACAAAAAACCCATGGAAAACGGGCGAATTGCGTTTTGCACCCCCAAAATTAACCCTGATTGGCTATTTGCCCCCTACAATTTTTAAAATTTACAAAGTTCACCCTCAAATTATATATCTTATGCAAGTTGCTATCTACAATTTCGACAAAATGAATCACGATTTTGTTCCGAAAAAGGAAATTGGAAAATCGAAAAATCGGAGTTTTGGAATTTATTGAAATATGTACTTGGAACCCGAAGAAACAAAAGTGAACTGAAAACAATCTCCGAATTTCAGGCAATAAATCATCGCATTGAGAATTCCTTCCTAGATGAAGTCCGTCATCTCGCAAGAGAATTCTTTCACCTGCCGATGTCGGAAAAGCAAAAAACTGGCAGAACTGAAAACGATTACGAAGGCTACGGCAATGACATCATCCTCTTCGAGAACCAGCCACTCGATTGGACCGATCGGCTCTATCTCTTAGTCTCTCCACAAGACAACCAAAAACTCGAATACTTTCCTCAAACCCCACAATCTTTCAGGTAGACAACAAAAAAAAAACCGCAAGTTATTACGGGGACTATAGTTTGTTTATATTAAGGATCATTTGTTGGTTTCCGTATGCAGGAAAATGTTGCATGATTATACTATTGAGATGAAACGTGTCCAAGCAGAGCTGCTTAAGTCGATAGCAAGGTCGCTAGATTTAGCAGAGGATTGCTTTGTGAAAAGATTCGGTGAAAGAGGGACGATGTATGCAAGATTCAACTACTACCCACCTTGTTCGAGACCCGATTTGGTTCATGGGCTGAAACCGCATGCGGATGGATCCGGGTTGACTATTCTCTTGCAAGACGACAAAGTTGAAGGGCTTCAAATGTTGAAAGGTGACCAGTGGTTTCGTGTTCCTGTCATGCCTTACGCCTTGCTCGTTAACATAGGCGATCAACTCGAGGTAATACATACACACATATATACGCATATATACGATCTATTGTATAAAATCTTATTGTTTTTTTTTTTTTTTGACGTAGATAATGAGTAACGGAATATACAAGAGCCCAGTGCACAGAGCACTAACAAACGCAGAAAACGAGAGGAATACGTTGGCTATGTTTTGTGCACCAGATCCCACATTAGAGATTGAACCGGTCGAGGAGCTTGTGGACAACGAGAAAAAGCCTAGATTGTTCAAGAAAGTCAAGAACTATCCGGAAACTTATTTCCAGTACTATCAGCAGATGAAAAGGCCTATCGATGCTGTTCGAATCTAGTTGATCCCGCCTTTGTGTTACTACTTTAACGCTACCTTAAACTATACCCGAGCACCTTTTATTCTAATTTGGTTCTGATGTAATCAGATTTTTCGTTTGTGGGATGTGTGTTAGAAATCTGACGATGGTAAAAACAATAAGATCAGACATTAGATTTCAACTTGGATTAGTTCTCATCGAATAAACTCGAAAACCGTAGGTCGATAGATAAAAGTACAACAAACAATGAAAAGGTAAAAAGGTCTACAACATGGCAGAAATCAACATGAAAGAAACACTCCAATTGAAAGAGATGCTTGTTGATAGGTTACAATACCGTCTGTACACGATTGGGTGTCTCTATTCGCCCTTTTCTTTCATCGGGAGGATAAATGGTATACCTATAAGAGAATGAAAACGATGAAATAATCAAAAATCGGTCACCGGAAACTGTAAATATGATCACTAGAAACAAAAGTTAAGTTAAAGCCATGAAACAGAGCAACCCTCCGTATCATTTTTCACGAACCGGGATTTCAAAGCAAAAGACAAACGCTGGTAAAAGCATATAACACGAGCTTTACGCCAACTACTAAGTTGTTATTTACGACTCGAGAGCTTAACTTTAAACTAGATACATAACCAGGCAATTACAGCATTAGGTCTCAATCACTGTCCTTTGCGTCGGTCTAACATTAATGAACATAATGAAATTAGAACAGAGCTTCCCCCACAGTGTGTCTGTATCAAATAACACATGTATTTAAGTCTATTCATTCATGTGATGCACGGATGCACATGGAAGATGTCGATAAATTTATTACATGTCAGATTTTACAATTTCAATCATAAAATTTAATTATTTCATTATCAAATCCGGTTACTATCAAGCTGAATAGAAGAACCATTTTCGATCAAGATTGTCCTAATTGAGAGACAGTTGCATACCTAGTACAACACAAATCATCCTAAATTGCCATTGTCGCCCAAAGACTCCGATTTGGCCGGTAACAAAGGCGTCCCGTTCTCGGATTGGGGCGGTAATAACGGAGTCCCGTTCTTGGGCAATTTAGACAGCATTGGCCTACGGAAGCCGCTCTCCTCGGACTTGCCGAACAACTGCTTCCTCAAAACCTCGTGCAAGTGTCCGAATAGCTCTTTCTTCAAAGACTCGAACGCCAAATCCAATCTCTCCAATTGCTCCATGGCATTCTTGTTGTACATGAAAAGCCCGTAATACAGATCGAAACTGTCGCTGGCCGTGTTCTCCACCAAATTTAGCAAGGTTTCGTACCCTCTGGTGTTGATCGGAGTGCTCTCGAGCTGCAATTTCTCGAGTATTCGCCCCATTGTGTGCGTGATGAACTGCGAGCCCGCGGCGTACTTATCGTGTTCCGTGCAGGTCATCTCCACCATAGTGCAGCCTTCCTTTTTGAAAACGTCGAGGAATGTTTCGACCCTGGAAACCCTAGAATCCTCGTTCCCGATCCGGACTTTGTCGAAGACGAAGGGGAGATTCTGCCAGCTGTGTTTGCCGCTCTCGGGGCCGAACATGGGGTGGGTGCAGAGGATGTCGAAGTGGTTGGGGAGGACTTGGAGGAAGATGTTTTTGGGGAATTCCTTGACGGAGAGAACGTCGACGAAGAGTGTGTTGCGGCGGAGGCGCTGGAGGGGGATGGCTTTGAGGACGGTTTCGGTGGAGAGGATGGAGGTGCAGATTAGGATGACGTCGGGGTGCTGCTCGCAGAGGTCGTGGAGATCGGAGAAGAAGGCGGCGCCGATCGATTGGGCGATTGAGTGGTAATTGGATCGGGAGTGGGCGTAGACGGTGTGGCCCTGGCGGACGAACGCCTTGGCGAGGAATTGGCCGAAGTTTCCGAACCCTACGACGGCGATTTTGAGCTTCGTCGACTGGGTGAAGCGGTGGACGAGGTGCGCCTCGTAGTCGTAGGGCTGCGCGGCGTCGATTGCGCGGACGCTGAGGGGGCGGCGGCGGCGGTGGGAGTGGGGGTGGTGAGGCGCGAAGGAGGAGAAGGACAATTGGTGTGGGTGGGAATTGTGGTGCGGGATGAGTGACGCTACTGCGGCGGCGGAGGTGGTGGCCGGGGTTTGGGTGGCGGTCGTCGGTTGAACGGAGGAGAAGGTAATCATTGCTGCTGAATTTTTTTTATTCTTTAATTTTTTTATTTTTTGGGTGCTTTAATCAGTCTAAAGAAGTGGCGCAAATGTGAGGGTTATTTCTATGAATGTATATATAATTATATATATATATTTGTATGTATAGGTGGACACACAGTGAGCGTGAAAGTGCGTGTTGGTCGTTGAGTGAAAGGGGTTTGGTGAGGCTGTAGGAGTACATTGCAGAATGTTGACTATTCTATTTTTATTTTTATTTTGAACCATAAAACGTTGACTACACTAAACTCCTTTAAATTCACATTAAATTGAATCATAATTTATTTAGTTTACAATATTTATGATTATTAATAATAATAATAATAATTAGAGTATATTATTATATTCCAATTAATGAAGGCGATAGCCTCACCTAACCCCTCCACAATAATTGACAGAAAATAAGCAGTTTAGATTCTTTACATTTTCTGATGCATTTAATATTAACCGCACATGAGCCCTCGTGCTGCACGTGTGTATAAATCTCAATCATTTAAATATTTTCCATCCTACATGAAAACGACTCTTTGATTTTTTTTAATTTTTTTTTATACATATAATTTTACTATGCTAGAGTCTAGACTGGTGATATTTGTGATTGTAGAAAAATAAAATATTGGCATATTTTTACGATTTAGTGTGTTTTCCCTCAGATCTCATTTGTCAAAACCGTACGAACCATTGGGTCCCAGTACAATTTAACTTACCCAAATAACTTATTTTTCTTTTTATTTTGAAGCCCAGGTGAATTTGTCAGTAAGGATTCGCCACATAAATGCAGGTAACAAGTGACACATTGTATAAGATTGACTACCAATTTTGACTTTTGTGTCACTATCAATAAAAGAAAATATTCAAAAAATCAATTTCATGTGACTCGTAGTACAGGACATCAAGATTTACCATATGTATCTATATTTTATTTAATAGTTACAGATTAAAAAAAAATACAATGATCATGATTAAATAAATACAATCTGAAAAACTTTTACAAACAAATGGGTGCAACGTGAATTAGGATTTGGGCACATGGGCTGAACCAACACTTGAAATATTTCAATTTATACATATAATATTAAACCCAAAGAGTAAAGTAAAAAATAATAATAATAATAATAATAACAATAATAAAACAGTGTCCCAACTATTGGCAAGATTCGAACATACTAATTAATCATGGCAAAATTTATATTCGAAACCTCAAAAAAAAAAAAAAAAAAAAAAGATTATTACTCATGACAGGATAAATTAGGGGGGGGGGCAGAGATTTTGTGTTTGCCTTACACTTCAGAAGATCTTGAAGAGCAATCCACCGTGTGCAGCAAAGAACGGAGCAAAAACGAGAGATTCAACAGCCATAAGCTTGATGAGAATGTTAAGTGACGGTCCAGATGTGTCCTTGAGTGGGTCACCGATCGTGTCTCCGATCACAGCTGCTTTGTGTGGATCGGATCCTTTTGGACCTAGGCTGCGTGCATGCTCCGAAGCACCCGCCTGTCATTTTAGCAAAACCCAGTTTTATTATTATTTTTCATGCTGGTAATAAACACAATTAGTAATCATCTTCTAATGGGGTTTTAGTTCTACCTCGATATATTTCTTGGCGTTGTCCCATGCACCACCTGTGTTGGAGGCTGAGATAGCAATCTGCATTGCATACAAGTTGTCATGTTATCTTCGAAAGAGGTAAGGTTAAATTACAAATGCTCCGTGAGGTAAGATCAAATTATGAAAAAACCTGCTCTTGTTTACGAATTATATATACACCGTGACTTAAATTCTCCAATTACGACTCCAGAATAACCAAATCTTTTAGATTTCAACGACTTTCATACAAAAAAAAATTAATTATCACATGTATATAGACTAGGGGTGGAAATCGGACGGATTAGATAAAAAGTAGCACATCCAGAAAAATTCCATTTTTCTTCGGAAGTTGAAAACTAATTCCAATTTTGTTCCAAAACATCGGAGATAGAAATTTTGGAATGAAAATACTTGTTCCAAAATCGGATATTTTCAGATCGGAATAGGCGTAATTCAGAAATTCAGAAATTTTGGTCACTTATAAAGCAAACTACAGAATTCAGAATATTGACATTAAAAATGTAACTTTTTTAGGGGAAATTCAGAATTTTCGGAATCAAAATAAGTTGGAAATCAGAATCTAATAGGTATTCCGGTTCCGTTCCAAAAAAAATCAAAAATCAGAATTTTTCGGATTGGAATAGGCGGAATTCGGAATTATTGTTTCTATATTTGTTAGGGGTTAATTGTAGTTTTTTAGACAATGTAAAATTTAACCGAATTCTATATATAAATTCAAAGAATATTACCTGGACACCAGAGACGAGAGATCCAGCAAGAACACCGGAAAGAGTCTCGACGCCAAAGAATATTCCGACAATGAGTGGAGTGAGCATGACAAGAGCACCGGGAGGAATCATCTCCTTGATGGAAGCGTCCGTTGAGATCTTGACACATGTCGCATAGTCGGGTTTACCAGAACCGTCCATTATACCCACGATTGTGTTAAACTGTCGGCGAACTTCTTCGACCATCTTAAGAGCAGCTTTGCCGACGCTCTTCATTGTCATGGCAGAGAACCAATAAGGGAGCATTGCACCCACTATCAAACCAATGAACACTTTTGGAGTTAGTACATCTACGGTTGTGATGTCAGCACGGCTCACGAATGCACCGAATAGGGCTAGGGAAACGAGAGCTGCAGACCCGATTGCAAATCCCTGTTGGAATAAGGGTAAAATAATCATTTGTCGTGGAGAGAAAATTGAAGGGGTCTATATACAAGCATAATCTGCTGGAAACAAGTTCATAATTCAAAAAGCAGCTGTTTTGTAAAATTTTAAAGCATAGTTCCCTTGGGTTGAATCTGTGGGATAGCTCAACAATTTCTAAATTTAGGGTAAATTACAACCACCTCCTTAAGGTAAAGTGTAATTACAAAAAAACCCTTCCTTTTGAGAAATTACATCCAGCCCCCTGAATTGTAAATTTCTTACATCCACCCCCCTAAAAAGGGTGTCAAGGTAAGAAATCTATAAATTACAGGGGGTGGATATAATTATGGAAAAATGAAGGGTTTTTCTGTAAATAGATATTACCTCAGGAGGGTGGTTGCATTGCAGTTACATAAATTTTAACCCATCTTTTTTCATTGAAAAAATCAAACATTTTTTAAAATATTTGGAAAAAAATTATAAAGAGACATGATTAGCAAAATTTCAAAATTCCCGAAGCTTTTGGAACCAGAATAGGTTTCTAGATTCCAAAACTTTTGGAACTAGAATCAGAAGTTAATTGTAATGTGGTTATCCAATTACCCCCTTACGTAGTACTAATTAAGGGCGTAGAATAATATAAGTACCTTCCCAATGGCTGCAGTGGTATTCCCAGCAGCATCAAGTGCATCGGTCCTCTCTCGAATAGTGTGACTCATCCTTGCCATCTCAGCGATACCCCCAGCATTGTCACTGATTGGACCATACGCATCGATAGCCAATCCAGTTGCTATTGTACTCAGCATTCCAAGTGCAGCCACCGCAATCCCGTACATTGCAGCAAAGCTAAAGCTAACGAAAATGCTAATCGCGATTGCGAATATCGGAATAATAACCGATTTGTAACCTAACGCTAGCCCAAAAATCACATTCGTAGCCGCCCCTGTACGGCACGAGTCTGCAACATCTTGCACCGGGCTGCAAAGAGACGCCGTCTTTTTAATATATTTTTTTAACATTTCTTAAATTTCTCAAAATTGTGTCAAGAATCAAGAAAGATAGATATACCTATAAGCATTGCTCGTGTAGTACTCTGTGACGAATCCAATAATCAAGCCCGCCCACAAACCAACCGCCACACACAAGAACAATTGCCTGCGAGAAAGACACAATCTTATAATATTTGAACAAAATCGAAAAAAATCAAGAAAATGACAGATATTTCACTCACCAGCTTTGAACTTCTTTCTGCACACCGAAATTGAATATAGTGAAGGACGAAGGAAGAGCGATCCAGCTAACGAAAGCTATTCCAGCTGTCATCAGTATTGTGGAGATAATGAGCTGCTTCTTCAATGCGGGCTCGATCTCATTGACTGCCTTGACCTCGAAGAAATCGGTTGCAAACAATGTGGTGAGCAAACAAACGAGGATTCCAACAGAGCTGACCAGAAGAGGAAACAGCATAGCAGTAAAGTTATGATTGATTCCGAAAGACGAGATTGAAGCAACAACAAGAGCAGCACACGAAGCTTCTGCGTACGAGCCAAAAAGATCCGACCCCATTCCAGCAATATCTCCAACATTATCACCGACATTATCCGCAATAACCTATAAAAAATTCAAAAAAAAAAGAAAAAGAGTTACAACCCATAATTAATTTAAAGAGAATGTTTTTAAGCGTTAAAACGTTGGCTACACCGCAGGGTTTCTGGCGTCATCTATTAAAAAAATCAAAAAAAAAAGACAAAAAAACGTTAATGTTAGCAATACCGCAGGGTTTCTGGGGTCATCTTCCGGAATGTTCTGCTCCACCTTGCCGACGAGGTCAGCGCCTACATCAGCAGCTTTAGTGTAGATACCTCCACCAACTCTACCAAAGAGAGCCATCGAAGAACCACCAAGGCCATAACCAGTTATAGCCTCGAACAAACCTTCCCAATCATCACCATAGTATAACTTAAAGAGATTGATGGTGATAAACAAAACGAGAAGACCATTTGCAGCCAGGAGAAAGCCCATAACTGCACCAGATCTAAATGCAACTATGAAAGCCTTTCCAACACCCTTTCTTGCCTCTAAGGTGGTTCGAGCATTCGCATAGGTGGCGATTTTCATTCCAAGAAAACCGGAGATCACAGAGGTGACAGCTCCGAGAAGGAAGGCTACTGTGCTGAAGACAGCTGTCGCTAGGGCGGGCTTGCACATTTTGGTGCTGTCGTACGCACAGGGTTGATGGCTTGTGCTGAATCCTTTGACTGATCCGAGGAAGAGGAAGATTAATAAGGCGAACGCAACCATGAAGATTCCGACATATTGGTACATTGTGAAAAGGAACGATGTCGAGCCTGTAGAAATAATAGAGCTTTATCATAAATGAAATATGAATTCACATAGCTGCAATATACATCATTAATTAACGATTAGTATATTAATCAAATTTAGGTTGGTCTTTCCACGAAAATTATGCATCGGATGAAACAGTTTACACTTTATTGTTGCACTCTTAATTTCTGAAACATATTATCATTATTTACGAGCATAAACGCCACAATGCTGGCATTTGCTAAATTCTCTTGGATAAATTAAATAAACCATTTCCCTATTTTTTTTTTTATGATGACAGGCAACAACCATAAATGCAGCTATCAAACCTTAATTCAGGTAAACCTATTTATGAAATTAATAGGAAAAAAATAAAAAATTCATCACTTGCGAACACGTTTCAAAAGTCTAAGATAGAAAATACATGATAATTGTTACTAGATCTAAAATAATTTGCAAAATTTAAGTTATTTAAATAAATATTAAATCCCCCAGTTAATTGATCCACAATGGCGTGCGAGTTAAACATTCAACTAACATGATTACAATAATCAAACAAAGATTAAAGTCTAAATCGGAAGCACACGTGTCGATAAAGAAACCATTATAATAAACAGTGTCAACAACTAAGAAACAGCTCCTATAAGATCTCCACATCGCAGAGCTTGACAAAAAGGATACACCAAACGCATTTTTTAATCAACAAAGAATTAACCATTTTTTATTATATTAAATTGCCGAGGAAAATATTAAAAATGTATTATTAATAAAAAGTTGTTAAACAACTCCAGAAATTAACATGCTGCAAATTACGCATCTTTAAAAAAATAAGAAAATTAAAATTAATTTGAAGATGGCTCACGCAAACCCTTGACCGTTAACAGAGCAATTCGAGCATATACCTAAAATTGATTTAAAAATTAAATCTTTATTCAAAATTAAAAAAAAAAAAAAACAATTTTACGATTGAAACACCAGAAAAAAAATTAAAATCACACGAGATCCATCCGTAAACAAATCCACATCTCCAAAAACCAGAAAAAAACAACATGCATATACGCAATTAGAAACAGGGGGGATTTACCTTCGGATATGGCGGCTTGGATATCGGCGCACTTGCGAATGACGGAATGTTCACTGATGCCTTCCTCCTCCTCGATTAGGGCTTCGGTGAATCCATTATTCCCGTCGGCGGAATTTGATTTTCCGGTGGAGATCTTCACCTTGGCCACGAGCATCCATTGCACGAGGGCGAAAACTATGCCGACTAGCGCGCAAATAGGTATGATAATTTGGGTGCCGAGATCTGAGAGCAGCGTCGCCTCCGCCATGGGCCTTTGTATGGAGAAAAATATGTATGCAACAGAGAAAAATAGGAGAATAATGTGAAGGGGAAAGAAGAAGAATTCAATTAGATGTGTGGGGTATTTATTGTGTGGGTTCGAGGAAAATTTGGGTGGCACAAAAAAGTAGGAAAACTTTTTTTCAGGAATATAATTTAATGGTTTTTAATTTAACTGTGTGTGTGTGTTTTTTTTTTTTGGTAATTTGTAGATGGGGATGGGGGTAATTTGGGGATAATGTTTTTTTGTTTGAACAAGAGAGTTTTTAATGTTGAAAAAGAAAAACACAATCTTATATGGATAAACTTTTAGACATATATATATATGTATATGTTTGACTATGTATAAATTAAAGGTGCATAATTTAGGAGACCAAATTTCGATTATGCGGACGATCTATGTAGCACGGACACGGAAACAGTAGTACGAGAGTTTAGGGAAAATGTGTAAATAATAAAATTATAGGGATATATTTGTAAATATGCTATGTGAAATTATAGGGGTATATGTTTGATTATGTGTAAATTAAAGGTGCATAATCTAGGATACCGAGTTTCGAAATTATGCTGACGATCTATGTAGCACGGACACGGAAACAGTGGTACGAGGGTTTTGGGAAAAACATGTAATATTAAAATTATAGGGGTATATTTGTAAATACGCTAGTTTTTATGTATATATAAATTTTTTATATCTTTTTTCATACAACAATATTCAAAATAACTATCAATTTACAATTGATCATCAAATCATGTAAATAATTAGGGCAGCAACAAAAATATTTAAAAGTTCGCTATTCAAACATGTTTCCTAACTTTTAGATATTACAAAATGGCCATAAATTTTCCAACACAAAACATGTCCGCAATGCAAAAACATTAAGAAATTAAAATTTTCGTGTTACGTGGTTACGAATTCAAACTAATGATGCATGCACATAAATTATAATCACACATTAGTGTATGGAGCATACTATATTTATTTATTTATTTATTTATTTTTGTTTGAATAAATCAAGAAAGAAATTAGTAGTACGTAACTAATTTATTGGATTAGGATCCACGTTGCAGATTAGAAGATAAGCCCTAAAATGATTGTGTTGCTAATTATCTACTAATAAATGGTTAACAGCTAATTTATCGTACTACAATGTCAGAACTCAAAAGGATAAACACCAAATGGTTAACTAAATATAGTTTTAACATTAATTCGGATATTAACGAGCTTTCCGGAAGTTTATGGAAACAAATTATGAGTTTTGTACTCATTTAATAATAATAATAATAAAATAATAATAATAATAATAATAATAATAATAATAATAATAATAATAATAATAATAATAATAATAATAATAATAATAATAATAATAAACTTTGGACGTTTTTGCGCTTTACCCCCTGAACGGAAAAAAGTTGCACGGGCATACCTGAACTTGTTAAATTGTTGCACCGACGAATAAAAAGTCTATTTATAGCCAAATCTCTGCCTGAATTGTGCACGTGCAACTCACACGTGAAAATAGAGGGGCAATTTCGCCAACTCACACAATTTTTATAAAAAAATGAAAAAATAAAAAAAAAATGAAGAAATTGGCACCCATCATCTTCTTCCTCTTTTCCTCCTGCTTCACCACGGGAGAAAAAAAAAAGACCTACTCAAGAAAAGACAATCTACAGCTAATCTGTGACTGATTAAATCAAATTTCAATTCAACACAATCAATTGAAGGAAGAAATTATCCAAATCAAACACAATTGACACTGGGCTAATTATATCCTCATGGCTCTGTGATTTCATCATCAACAAAATCGGTTCTTGATAAGTGGGTGGGCTAATTCTCAGTTCAAGATTCAAATCGGGGCACCGTTCTTTAATAATAGTATTAACCGGGCTGCTGATCATTTTCTCTTCTTTTCCGACTATCAAACCACCATAGCCGCCGCCGCCGCAGCCGCTCATATATTTCCGATCTTCTTCCTTAGAACTTGCAGTACCGGAAAATGAAATATTATGATTAATAATTGCGGGATTATGATTGATTGGTCTGTGAGTAGTGGGGTCAATACCCCTGCTCAAAAGCTTTCTTCTGATAATGAGTTCGTCTTCTTCTTCGGTGAAGCTGCCACGTTTGAGGTCCGGCCGGAGGCAGCAACTCTTACCGCAGCGGAGGAGTCCGGCGGATTTGGGCAGCGACCGCCAGCATCCCTCGCTAGTCCACGCGCCTTTGTTTGTGTGAGCTTTCTCACATCAAAGGTACCTTCCCATTCTCAAACGATTGAACGATGCGGCGGCTGAAGGAGGCGGGCTCGGCGATTTTAAAGAGGCGGACGTCAGCGAAGGCGAAGAGGTGGTGGTGGTGCGGCGGAGCAGAGGAGGTGTTGGTGGTGCTGTACAAAATCCCCCCTCCCCTGTTCCGCAGTAACAGCAAGAGAGGAGGAAGAAGGTGGGTTAGCAAATAGCAGTCCCGTTTTTCTTTTTTTTTTCCTTTTTCTTTTTTCTTTTTCTTTTTCTTTTTTCTTTTTCTTTGTTCTTTTATTATTTTTTTCCTAAAAGTATTGTGAATTGACAAAATTGCCCTTCCACTGTCACGTGTGAGTTGCACATGTGCAATTCAGGCAGAAATTTAGCTATAAATGGACATTTTATTCGTCGGTGCAACAATTTGACAAGTTCAGGTATGCTCGTGCAACTTTTTTCCGTTTAGGGGATAAAGCGCAAAAACGTCCAAAGTTTAGGGGATTTTTTGCAGTTAACTCTAATAATAATGAGTATTCGTGGTCAACATGGAGTACTAGTGTACTACTCACCTGGTTGTAATTTACCAATATACTTCGAGTAATTGCAAGTTTTCTTATTAATTAAAAAAAAAAACTAATACAATTTTATTATCAAATACTCACTTAATTTCAATTTGCACCCTTAAAATATACCATTTGACACTTTGCACCCCAAAAATAATTAATAGTACTTTACACCCTCGAAACATATTTAATCATCCAAATTGCACCATACTTTATTTTACAACCATAATTTCCATATTTGACCTATTTTATAATTGTCAACAGAGCCATTTTTGCTTGAAAATGCCTTTGCATTTTGCACCCTTAAGAGAAAAAAAAAAACAATTTAGTACACAGAAATGTTGACGATCATAAAATAAGTCGGCAATGGAAAATTATGTCCATAAAATACACTAAAGTGCACTTTAAACGATTAAACATGTTTTGAGGGTGCAAAGTACCATATTATATTTTTATGGGGTGGAAATTGCGAATATGGTACATCTTGAGGGTGCAAAGTGAAATTAATCCCAAAATATTTCATGTTTAGTATTTATAATTACTAATTGCAATTAAAGCATCCATATATCAAATAATTACGAGGCCCATACCATACTTTAAAGAAAGGAAGAAGAAAAAGCCCATATTACAAAAGCCCATATCACAAAAGCCCGTCTATATATTATATATATATATATATATATATATATATATATATATATATATATATATATATTTGGGAATATTGCCACACTTTATCGACGGTTAAAAAATAAAAAAACCCCAACAAAAATTAATTTTACTGGTTCATCTCCGCCCTCCGCTGCTCTATCTCCGCCGCACCTTTTGTACAAATTTCTCCCCTTAAACCATTCATCACCCTAAAACCTCAAACTCTTGTGCCTTTCAATTGTCTGATTTTTTTTAATACACATTTAGTTTTAATATATAAAATAATATATATATATATATAATGGGGAAAAGAAAGCGAACGGCTGATAACAATAAAGCACCACCACCACCACCAGGTAAAATTCTTTATTTTTCCTTCTCCAATTGGCGATTTTAGTGTAAATTTTCTGTTTTTTCTCCATTTATTTTGGGCCGTTGGAATTTGGATGATCAATTCTCGGTGATTGGGAATTTTCTGTTTTTTGCATTTATTTTTATTTGGGTTATTGAAGATCAGTTCTTTACTGCGTTGTTTAGTGCTGTAGTGTGGGGTAGCAACTTTTAATTTCAATTTCTGTTACTTTTGTGATCAAGAAATTAATTATGGTTTCTTACAGTTTTTATTTATAATTACACTTGGTTTGTTTTGTCATTTTATATTTGGTAGGTTAGATGAATGCCTCTGTTGCGTAAAACGATAGTCCATTTTCTTTTGGAATTTGTCTGGCGATCGTATTCTTTTTACTTGTGAATGATGGTTCAATTTGGGCATATTATATTAGCAGCCATCGTAAGAAGTGTCGATTATATGCATCGTGTTTGATTGTAGGATTGGGTAAAAGTACGTGTTTGTGTGTTATTGTGTTCTTACTTGCGAATGATATAATCTATACTCGGATATTATGTGCATGGTAAGAATTAAGATAAAGCGTTTCCTCTTGAGTTTGAAATGTCTTTGACCGTATTTATTACCTACTCGTATATGCGTTTGTGAATATTATGCATGGCTTATTTTTTCCCCTGTGTTAGGATGATATAGTTACGTGCTTACGTGGCGTTCTGTTTTAAGGTAGATTCGACTCGATCAGTTTGAAACCGTGACTGGCAATTCTGCTTGTTTTCCCCGTTAACTATTAAGTCTCTTAATCGACTTGAACTATCAAAACTTTCAAAGTGGACAATTGCTGCAGAAAGCTGGAATTGTAAATGACCTATTTACCCCCATGTGATATGAATTGTGACATGTTTGCATCAAGAAATAGTTGTTGATTTGTAAAACTGCTCCTAAAACGGGTTATTTTTCTCATTGTGATGTACTTGTTCGGACGCATATTTAGCTCGGCATTTGATGAAACACTTCACGTCGGGAATTATGATTGAGTAGAGATTGTAGTGTCATTATAGATACAGAGGGAGTGTCGTAAGAATGGTTTCACACGGTATAATGAAAATTATCTAAATTTAGAAGAAAAAAACATTAATGCACGTCTATCTTATTTTTACGTCTTTTGGATTTTCCATCTTATAACGAACTGAACTTCTCTGTTATGGTTCATTGAATTTGATCTGACGTTGTTAAATTGCACATATTGTCGTAGTTAAAGCTTTAATATTTGTCATAGTTCAGAGCGATATCTCATATTTAGAAATATCGAACACATAAAGTAATACGTGTTGTCAACTGTTATAAGAAAGACGTGTTTTCTTTTTCCCCGTTCTTCTTGGTACCTCTGTCTAATTCTATTAGTGGTTATCATTTATGTCACTTTCTTTACGTTGTATTTATTACTAATGTTCAATTGAATCGTCAAATTTCAGACTTCGTACCACCACATGCACCTCAGGAAGGGGATCTACGTAGATCTTCAGACTTAACCGAAAGCAGCGCAACACAGTCTCTAGCATCGATTATGGACGCTATGGATAAATCTGTCAAGAAATCGCCAGCTCACCAGTCACGTCTTTCTCATCACAACCATCCAATAACGTCGAGACACTCTCGTCACCCTCCGATGGGACGCCACTATTCCAGACGAAGCTCCGACCAATATCCTAACTCATCTCCTTCTAATTCTAAAGCCACTCCTCTTATGTACGACGCTCTCACCTCGTTCAAACTCCAAACCAAAAAAAACCCGTCAGCCTTCACATACAGAGGTACAACATTATTATCAAGATTTTTTATTTTATTTTTTCTCATTTTCAAGAATCTTGCTATTTTATGTAGAGATCTTTGTTATCTTTTTTCAAGTAGTGTAGTATTGTGATTTGTTGGTTGCACCCTTGAGCGGATTTTGTGTGTTGGATGATCAGATGGCGGGGAGAGAATGTTCCGGAAGCCGGAGAGGATCAGGTCGGGGCAGTACGGAGGAGGAGTTTCCGGAATCCTCCGGAAGATGGAGTGCAGGATATGCAAGAAGCGGTTGAGGAAAACCCCGTTTGTTTTGGACAACTCTATGCCGTTGAACGATGTTTCGGTTGTGGCGGTTTTGGTTTGCGGCCACATGTATCATGCTGATTGCTTGGAACAAGAAACGGGACACCAAGATAGATGGGACCCACCTTGTCCGGTGTGTGCAGGTCGCGTGTCCTAGGTTTGTGGTGCCCTGTTTTAGGGCAGGAGTAATGGAGTATTATGGTAAAAGATTTGCTGCCTTGAAATATAAATAGGGGAATTAGGCTCTGGAGTGAAATTAGCAGAAATATATATATATTAGGTACTGGTTTTTAAGGACTGGTTTTTTTAGGTCCCTATATATAAATAGTTTCTAACATAGTTATTTGAGTATCTGAGATATTTTATTATTTGCAATTTGTGCTAAATCTTAATGTTTGAATAAATTTTTCGTGCGATAAAATGTTAAGCTCAGTTCGAGCGTACTTCGATAATCTAATACATGATAATAAAACATGAAAAGTAAAATAAATTACAAAAATCAATCAACATGAAAGTCGGAACAACCCTAACCACTTTTTTCGGGTTTTCTTTCTCTGTCGTACGATTTCTTGTTTAGCTGTTACTGATCTTACAAATCCATCTGCATAAGAAGCTCCCTCCTGCGAAACAAACATCAAGACGTAATTGATGAATCTTGAAAATGTAATATATCGATGCTCATACGTATTTAAAGAAATTTATTTTGTATATATATATGGAAAAGAGTCTTGTACTTGTGCTTGGATTGTGGGAGGATCTTGTTTTTCTTGGCCAACGGCTGTTACCGAATTCTCGTCACTCCTTTCGTGAACGGTTTTATCTTTGGAAGCTTCAACGGTTGAAGAGCTCGACTTGGATGTGTTCCCTTGGTCTATTTCCAGGCTCAACTGCGTGGAATTAATGATATATTAATTATTTGAAAATGTTCGTTTAATTATTCGATAATGTAAAAAAAAAAAAAAAAAAAAAAAACCTGTAAAACTCGGTTTTCGAGAGCGGTGAGACGCTCTAAAAGTGTGCCTTTGTGTTGGACTTCCTCAAGAGCAGATGATAGAGTCTTGCAACAAAAATCTCTTCTTGAAGATAATAAACTATGTTTTTCATCTTCCAAAAGCTTCAGCTGCACCACAATTGGTTGTTCATCAATCTATACATACATACATACATACATGTATATATATAATGGTACTAATAGCTAGAGCTAGATCAAAAGGGAGATGAAGAAGTAGAAATTTTATTACAACGCGATCAAGGCGATCCAATCGTGGGATAACCGGCACGAAAGAATCGATTTCTTGGTTTTCTTCGTGATCCATAGACGATTAATTATCTCTTCAATTTTTATTTATATTCTTTTATTTTATTTTTTTGTGTGTTTGCTTGATTTGCATGTATGCTAGATTATTATGTAATGGGGATGTGGGAGAGATACATATGATGAAATATAGTTGGGTAAATTACAAACACCCCCTAAGGTATGGTCAAATTACAAAAAAACCCCTCTTGTTTGGATAATTACATCTACCCCTCAACTCTATTTTTCTTACACCTCCACCCTTATGGTGCCAAATTCAACATAATCATCTAGATTCCGTGAAATGTGCTCTAGTTTGTACTCGTTTTGTGCAAAAATACAGTTTTCAATGCACCACAAACTGATATATACAAGCTAAAAATCACATATTATGATCATCTTGCTTCATAATGTAAAGTTTGAATGGGATAAAACGGGTACAAAAGTGATAATATTCCATATAATCTCGAAGATTCCACTATATTTGAGGAGTTGAGGGGTGGTTGTAATTATCCAAACAAGATGGGTGTTTTTGTAATTTGACCATACCTCAGGGGGTGTTTGTAATTTACCCAATATAGTTAAATAGATGAGATAGGGAGAGAGAGTCAAGTGGTTATTTATGGCAACTACCATAGCCCATACTTTTCTTGTCATTATATATTTTTTACATTTATTTATTTATTTATTTGTTTAATAATAATAATAATAATATAATTATTGTTTGGTGATGTACCAATGATATGGCATGCATGTCTTTTATTACTGCGTAGATTGCCTCTCCATATCCCCCACGATTTTATATTTATATCATATGTATATATAATAATATATATATATGTATGCATCATGCATGCATGATTGAAACACCTAATCCAACTCAACTTTTTTATATTTAATTATTTATTATATAGTATCTGATTTCTTGGAATATAAAACCCTAGTTCCTAAGCGCTCACACACTTAACTCCCACGTGTGATCTGACCGCAAACAGAGTAGGTCCTACGACATATATAAATATAGTTTTGAAGTTCACGAAAAGACTCTCTCTGGTACCTATTCTAATAAACACTTATTTTCATTGTACTCGTATATATATTATTCCTCCACGATTCCGACTTGACCGTCGCAGTGCCTAACGTCGAAACACCCTTCCATAACGGTCCTTTTTTTTGCAGGTTTCTTAGGAGCACGTGGGCTTCGCTTCTTCTTAGGGCTTTCTTCGATCCATGCCATTATATTCCTTTTATATATCCAATTGAACGTTGGGATACAATTATCGGGTCGCACGAATTGCTCAAAGACTCTTGAATTGCCGATCGACACTTGAACAACACTACCTAGTTTATAGAGTTATAAGATATTTTTATCCTATGCTTTTCAGAATATCAATTACACCACTTAATTTACAGAATTATATATATATTTTTTTTAAGTAATCTATGCTTTTCAAAATAATATATAACTTTACTAAAAAAAAATAGAGGGATTACAATCCAAATATAGATATCTTATATTTAAGCCCAACTTAAATTGCATCTATATACATATATGGGCCCAACTACTTACCAAAAGCCCGAATTGAGTTGTCGGTCCTTGTTTTTTTCTTTCTTTATTTTTTTTCTTCTTATTTTATGTTATTTAATTTGGTTACCGCATGCCTGGATATAAAATAAATAAATGTCAATAATTAGATTCCAGCTAATATTTCATTCAAATTTATGGATGCCATAAATATTTTGGTAAATTAGCACTTACATCCTCATGGTTTGAACTATGTGCAAATGACTCCCTTATACTTTCAATATAGTCCATAACCCCCTTATATTTTAATATAAACACATAACCCCGATACTTTAAAAAATACCATAAGGGGGCTACGTGCTTATATGAAAAGTACAAGATAAGCATATACACAAAATTCAAACTACAGAGGAGTCATGTGCTAATATTGAAAGTACATGGGTTCACGTTCAGAAAGCTCAAACCGCAGGGGGTTAAGTGCTATTTACCCTAAAAAAAATCAAACTAAAATTAATTATTGGGTGAAGATGAATTATTAAAAAATAAATACAAGTGTGTGAAATAAATATATGAGGTGGAGAAATAAAGTAAAATAGAATACATGTAGACCCACCTGGCAATTAATCTCTTAACAGGAAATAATAACTAATTAATAACAATAACAATAATACAAAGTCATTGCACAACTGTACCTGTAATAATAATAATAACAATGGTCCCCACTCCCCACACATCACATTATACATACAAAAGCTAATAAAGATTCGAATCTGCAAATTCGGACATTCCTTCATCCAACGGCTGAGATTCACTCCACCCAGAATATGCCTAGTGGCATCATTCCATCATCAACCAAATATCGCTCCATTTTTAACCATCTAAACAAGCCCCCCTCCCATTTTCCCCCCCACCCCTCCCCTCCACTCTCTTTGCTTTCTCTCTCTAAAACTTTCTCTCTCTTCGGAGAGAAATCAATTTTCCAGCTGGGCTCTGTTTTCTTTTTCTTCCATTGCCCCTGGATTCTTGGTTTCCCCCTTTGTCTGCATTTCAGGTATATACTAAAATTGTATGTTCGTTTTCTTTGATTAAGATGATTGTGCATTTGTTCTTCAATAAAGTTTCAATTTTTTTTGCCTCTGTGATTTGGTTCTTGTAACCGTTGACTAAAAATCCAATCTTTACATACAGAATCCCTATATCTATATATATATAAGGTCGATTGTGCATTTGTTCTTCAATAAAGTTTCGATTTTTTTCATTTTATTTTGGCCTCGGTGATTTGGTTCTTCTAACCGTTGACGAAAAATCCAATCTTTACATACATAATCCCTATATCTATATATATAAGGTTGATTGTGCAGTTCTTCAATAATGTTTCAATTTTTTTCCATTTTTTTTTTGGCCTCTGTGATTTGGTTCTTCTAACCGTTGCGAAAAATCTAATCTTTACATACAGAATCCCTATATCCATATATTTATATATCAAGATGAAGGTGGCTACTCCGAGGGATTCTATAAACAGGGTGTTTGAAAGAGTTGGGTTTGGCGGTGGTGGGACCACCACCACCACCCAGAAAAGGTGCAAGTACGCCATTGAAGATGAAGAACACATGGAATTGGAGCAAATCGGTGCAGAGAGAACAAAAAATGTTCTGATTCTGATGAGCGATACCGGCGGCGGCCACCGCGCCTCCGCTGAGGCCATCAGAGATGCTTTCCAGATCGAATATGGCGACGAATACAGAGTAAGCTAATTAATTTTTCAATTTTTTATTCTTTTATTATGTATGGGATTATGTTTTTTTATTAAAGTAATTTTAATTTTGTTTTTTCAAGATTTTCGTAAAAGATGTGTGGAAAGAATACACCGGTTGGCCGTTGAACGACATGGAAGGACAATATAAATTCATGGTAAAACACGTCCAACTTTGGAAAGTTGCGTTTCACGGGACTTCTCCTCGTTGGATACACTCCGCTTATCTTGCTGCAATTGCTGCCTTTTACGCCAAGTACGGCTCCGTTTCCATAATCACGTTTAGTTAATACTTGATTATAATCACCGTTGTCTAATTTTGCGTTTTTTGTTTGATCCTTTTGAAAGGGAGGTGGAGGCGGGATTAATGGAGTACAAGCCCGATATAATCATCAGCGTACATCCGCTCATGCAACATATTCCTCTGTGGGTGCTCAAATGGCAAGGCTTACAGAAGAAAGTCATTTTTGTGACTGTCATAACCGACCTCAATACTTGCCACCGCACGTGGTAAATAAAGATTCATTTTTTTTTTAAATCTAAATTCGAGATTGAATTACAAAAAAAAATGCTGAAATGTGTATATGTTTTTAAAGGTTTCATCCAAACGTGAATCGGCTGTATTGCCCTTCGGAGGAGGTAGCTAAGAGAGCTTTATTCGACGGCCTTGAAGAATCTCAAATTCGCGTATTTGGATTGCCTATTCGCCCCACCTTCTGTCGAGCAATTATATCAAAGGTACAATTTTTCTCTTTATTATATAATGTAGTCAAGTTGAAAATAAGATCCCAAAAAAAAAGGCGAAAAATAAAATCAAGAATGTGATTACTTTTGGGTATAGGATGATTTGAGGGTGGAGCTTGAGATGGACGCGGAATTGCCAGCTGTCCTTTTAATGGGAGGGGGCGAGGGGATGGGCCCCGTCAAGAAAACGGCAAAGGCTCTTGGAGAGTTTTTGTTCGATAAAGAACTCGAGAAGCCGATTGGACAGCTGGTGATTATTTGCGGGCGTAATGCAGAGCTGGCTGCCACATTGCAGTCTCTCGATTGGAAAATTCCGGTTAAGGTAATAAACCAACTTGCAGTTTCCTTCTCGAAGAATCGTCTAACGAATATTTTTTTTATTTTTTATTTTTGCAATATTTTGTTATGAATTTAAAGATTATTTGTTTGTTGTTAAACATAGGTTAGAGGATTCGAGAAGCAGATGCAGAAATGGATGGGGGCTTGTGACTGCATTATTACTAAAGTATGTTATATCTGAGATACTTCTGCAATCAATATCGAAGCATTTAACGAAAAATTGTTCGCAGTTTTATTTATTTAATTAATTAATTTTGGATTATGTAGGCTGGGCCGGGTACCATTGCAGAGGCATTGATAAGAGGCCTTCCGATTATTCTCAACGATTATATTCCTGGCCAAGTAAGTGAAAAAATCCGAATGCTTTTTAATTGTCAATTTCATAAATTGTATATAGGGGGGCAATGACCCCCATACTGCTGCTCTATACTGGCTCTGCCACTGATTGCCACTGATTGCATCACGATATATCAAGAATTATTGTAAATTTTTTTTTTGGTGTTTTTGGCAGGAGAAAGGAAATGTTCCGTACGTAGTGGACAATGGGGCGGGGGTATTTACGAGAAGCCCTAAAGAAACAGCGAGAATTGTGGCTGACTGGTTCAGCACGAAAACGGAGGAGCGAATGAGAATGTCGGAGAATGCGTTGAAACTAGCTCAACCAGATGCCGTTTTCGATATTGTGAAGGACATTCACGAGCTCGCGTGCCAACGGGGCCCGTTATCGAACATACCCTACATGCTTACTTCGTCGTTTTCGAGTTTAATATACTAGAAAAAGAGAAACATTTTACATTCTTCTTCTTCTTCTTTAACTTTGTCCTTTTTCTTTTTTCTTGAATATATAGAAAGAAATGATGTAGGTTTGCGTGTAGTATCGTTGGTTAATCTTGATCGTGTAGAAATCGATTTTCTTCTTTTTTTTTTTTTTTAAAATTTAGGGTGTTGGGGTAGATATTGTTGTGTGTTTGTTGTATTCTTTTAGGTTAAGTTTACGAGTTATCGTTTTGTTTTGAATGGTAAAGATGTACTCGGTGTATTTTATTCGGTGCATCGTAATAAACCGAATATAAATGGATGGTGATGAAAATTTACTTGCTTTCTTTTGAAGTGAAGTGTGGCTCCAAGATTTTTTCAAATGATCTTACTTTACTTCTAAGATTGAATAATATATTATTCTAATTACCAATTAGCAAAAGGAAACTTGCAAGCATTAACTTATTTAATTGGTATTAGAAATGCAAGTGGCCAAGTCTATTTTTGAGATTTCTTTGTCAAATTGCAAATATTCAAATCTTTTTTATAATTTGTGAATTCTTGAAAAATAACAAAACATAAATTCCGGAAAAATTCAAACTTTCGCCCATTTCGATTTGAAAATTTCTGATTTTTAAAAAACCTTTTTCATTTTCGGAAGCTTTTACAAATCGAGCTTGGAATTAGTTTTTCATCATTCTTTTTTTACTCTATAATCAGATTTAATCACGAATTGAATTATTAATTAATTTTCTATTTGAATTTTCTTGTAACAATTTTGTGAAGGATTATTGATCAATAATTGATGAGCGGTGAGCCACATGGGAAATCAGTTACTAGTTGGAGTATTAAAAGTTTTAAACCCAAACAAATAATTGGTGGGGCCCAGACAATGATATTTGAACAAATATTTCATAATTTTTAATATATTTCTCTATAATTCAAAACACATGTAACTTGAAATTTATATTTATATATATATATATATATATATATATATATATATATATATATATATATATATATATATATATATATGTCAACTGAATAGACACAACTATAAATTCAAACTAATAATAATAATAATAATAATATTTCGAACTAGAGATCAAGCATCCGAAACTTCTTCCTCGAACGAAGAACACTACAGTCAAATGGTTTGCTTTTATCGTCTTTCTTTACGCTGTAATAATGTTCATAAACTTCCTTTTCGCAAATGCCAACCACCATTTGTTTGGAGTTCCATTCGACCGATACGCCACACTCAATAACCTCCCACTCGTTTCTTCACGTATCTGCTTCAAATAATTTCTGAACAGCTCTGTACACACAAAGTCGTATAAAATCAAGATAACAATATAAAACTAAGAAATAACGAGCAAATATTCAACATCGATTTTCTCCAAAACTATATATAATCTACGAAATGGTTGAATCAGATTTTGCTGATTATAAATCAAAATTCAATACAAAATCTAATACTCTTATTTTTGGCTCAAAAATTATTTTATTTATTTTTCGTATGTGACGCAATTTACCTGCCTCTTGTTGAGATTGTGGAACGGCAAATAAACCTGGAAACGGGAAACCGTGTTCTCCAGGCACAGGGACCTTTTCCAACCCGAGATTTATAATTGCTTTCGTTCCTTCAGCCAATGTTCTGCAGCCTTCTAATCTTTTCAGAGCAATATTTATATAGAATGTAAGGTATATAAGAAGCTTATCAGCTGAACTTTTGACATCGAAGTTTCTAAAAAATACGTTGGCACGAAAAAACGTAATTGCTTCATCGACAATATCAGCAATATCTGCATACGCAACATAAACATTATAATAACAATAAAAAAAGATTTTTTTTTCTTTTTTTATTTTTTTCGTTTCTTGAAAATTTTGAATTAAGGGATGAATATGACCTTGTTCTGAAACTGGAGCTGGTCCTTTTATGTGGCTTTTTAAGGGAAGTAGAGGGCAACCACATGCCTTAGTAATTTCTTCATCGTCGACGAAACTTGAGTGGTAGACCTGCATTATTGATCCATTTTCCGCCTTTATAATTTCAAATACGGAGATGATAAAAGATTCTCTTACATTATAAACGAAGATAAAGAATACGAAAAAACATGAATTCCCCGTGATTTTCTTTTGCACTAGCATCTTAATCTCCATACGAAAACATTATTAGTTTTTTCAAAACATGAATTCCCCGTAATTTTCTTCTTTCTCGTTGCTTTTACAATTGTCTCTCTATGTTGCAGGTAAACTATACGAAATGTGTTACGGGCCGCATAAATTTAGGGTTGAGATTTAAAACTGGCAACGAAGTAAAAACACAAGTACCGAAAGTAATACGATATTACTCACCATGTCAATCCTTTGCAAGTAGTTTTTATATTCTCGAGTTCCGATTTCACCGTCTGGCAAAAAACAACAAAAATCCGCAAAAATCCAACTATCATCATCAATATAGATTTCATCCAACTCCGATAAAGATGTGATAGCATTATACAATTTCACGTCGCTTACGAACAAATAGAGACGATGTGTTAAGTCGGTGTTTCTACGTTTACTTTCTAGTTTCCACAAACACAAACGAAAAACAGAAGGAGCAAAATCAACATAAGATTTAGGCTCTCTCTATCTGCAGCAAAACAGTCATGTTGTTCTTGTTCTATGCCCGAAAGACGAAGAAAATTTGTTCTCGTTTCTTCCTTTTTACTAAAACTATCGAAATGAATTGCTACAGAAGCGGCAGAAAATTGCTACTGTGAAAAAAGCTTCCCATTTCTTCTGAAATATTTCCCCAGCACTCAATTGAATAATTTTAAATCATGCAATTAATCAAATTAAAAATTCAGTAATTTTGACAGATTGCATTCATAGAACAACAGTGATCGCGTCCATCAATCGTCACACAGTTCATAAACTTCAAGAGAAAATGTAAATAAAACACCGGCTGCAATAGGTAAAAAAAAAATAACAAAAACAAAATGAAGAACACAACCAAAATCGATGAAGATCAGCAATTCACATACTACAAATTTGAAAAATCGAGGATTATTTACCTGAGGATTTCTGTGTTTGACCTCTTTCTCTCTCGCGTAGGGGTTACAATTGCATCTCCAATTTCAAAGCATCCAAACGACGACGTTTCCAGTGCACTATGCCCTGGCAAATTACAGACAACCCCTGAGGTAAGGTTAAATTACGAGAAAACCCCTCTTATTTTCATAATTACAGACACACCCCCCAACTATATATTGTCTTACGAAAAAATCCTTTCAGTTTGTAAATTTAATTACCGAAATTTCGATACACAAAATTTTCATACCATTTTATCGTATGGTCCGATAAATAACCGAATAATCGTGATCTTATTAAAAATATGTAAATGTTGAGAAACTAACAAAGAAGAACAAAACAAAGATGAATTAACATAGTAATATAGAGAGAAACAAATATATCTTCTTGTGTTTTTCTTGTGTATCCAACTCAATACAATGGGGCACTATATATAGTACAAGTAAGACCATGAAAGGTCATGAGTTACAAGGAGTTATGGGTATATAATGGTGAGTAAATGGTGGGAGTAGTGGTGGGAGTAATGGTGCTTGATGATGGTAGTAATGGTGGTCATCCACACTTAAGAATTCATAACACTCCCCCTTGGATGTCCACCATATATGGAGTATGCCTCGTTAAAAACCTTGTTAGGAAAACCCAATGGGACAAAACCTAAACGAAGGAGAAAAGAGTACATATCCATTTAAATCTTGAGAGCGTAACACTGCCTCATTAAAACCTTGCCAAGAAAAACCCATTGGGATAAAAACTTGGACGAAGGAAAAAGAGTACAGTGTTGAAATTGTTGATCACGCTCCCCCTGTTTTCAGCATGAGTCATTGGAGTAAGATCGCCGACGTATGGATTTGCAACCTCGTTATTTGTTTGTCATCAATAACTGTCAAGTCGTCTTTCTTCTTTAACTCTCGAGTACTTTAAAAATCTTCAATAATTCTTCGGCCACCTCCCTTGATATCCAAAATCTCCTTGGTGCAATCAGACATTATTATCGTCATATATTAGAACCACGATCTTCATTATCTTCTCGAGGAAGGATGGGAATATATTTCTTATGTCCAAAGATCGGACAATCATATGTTTACTCAATGAATGAGCTTTATCATGTATATAAACAAATAATGGATAAATATTTCATTCGACAAATGCTCGATCTGCAGATCAATGCAAAATATATATCCTCCCAAGATATTTTCATTTCGAATTCTTTCATCAAATAATTGATGATCTTTGTGATCTCTTCATGAGTCTCCACAAGATTTAATTCGCCCCAAATGATAATATGAATCAATTTATTTGATTATTCCTTTTGTAAACAAGGTATTCACTAAGGTGACAATACCGTATTCTTCAATATGTAAATGGATCATTCGTATGGTCTAACTCATGAGACCTCTTATTATATGCTTCAAGCATTTTCAATTCTTTGAAATAACAAGTTATGATCCATATAAATATGCGGTAATTTGCATCCATATGGTGCATGCCAAATAATTTTGAATACCATCATAAAGTGATTGCATCATAAAAATATATTTTCAAAGGCATTCAAATTTACCGCAATGATTTTACCCACTTTTGTACTAAAGGCTTTCACAACTTTATGTGTGATGATCGCAAGTCAATGTACAATTCATTTGATCAATAATTTCAAATAATCATGGTCAATTGAATTTGTGAATGCATATACTAATGACCAATTAGATGTCGACATCTATCAAAATGTATGAGCTTCAAGCTCTTCACATTATAAAAATAATTGTACATATTGTTATTCGATAACATCTTTAGTACTCCCCATATTTCTTTATAATCAATAGAGCTCACTATTTCACTTTTCCGGTACCGGATTCTCCTCAGAGAATTATATTCATATCAGTGGGGATTGTAGCCTTTGTGGGTACGATCTCTTGTAGAGATCCATATCTTTTCATGTACCATGTATTTTTCTCTTATAGAGATTTGTATATTGCAACAATAAAGTTTTCATAATACTTTATGTGCTTGAGCTCATTATTTATTTCAATAAAAATGCCCTACATGGACAAAATGCGCGCTTTTGAGTTTCACAATGTGGAGGGAGTATTGAGGACTACGTGTCCACTTTATTTTCAAACTCAATATTGTCAAATTTAATTTGGTACATGAATATTCATTGGAAAAGAATTTTCAATTCTTTAGGATAGTATATCGGTACAACAACAAAATTGAGAACTAATGTCTCAAATTCCTCTCTATTCACTTGGAGAGCAAGCTAACCATGATTTATTTGCCAATCAACTCTTTATTGGCACATAATGGTTCGATTTAAAATGATCTCGATAGCTACCGTGTAATCATCAATGATTTTCTCATCCAAATATGGATTTCATTTATGCCACCATAATTGGCAAAAATTCTCAAATCATAGTAATGGATATTGGTGTTGAGGCGTCCCCCAACATCGTCTTTAAGACGAATCCTTTCATGAATGAGATAAGTAATAGGATGAGAGTATGATGCTACTAGCGCTAGTAGACTTTAATTGAACGGTATTCACACCACTTATAAGGGTGTTAATCATTCGAACCAACATATATATCTCCCCCTCTTATATGTATAAATTAAGATTGGTTAGTTGTGTACCATAATCATTTTTCACCCAATTAGGGATTCACGATGCAATCATGATGTGAAATTTGTCCTTCAAGGACATTCGTTTTCATGGCAAAATTTAATGTGCAATGTGTCATTCTTAGAAATTTTCTCTTGCACTCATTTGCAACATATGTAATATTTTCAAGTTGTCATTTTATCGATAAATGCATCTAGCATTTTGCACATTAAAATTGTTGCAAATGATTTCTTTTTTCTTTTGTGCTTAAATATTTCCATGCACAAATGTGAATGAGACAAAGATCATTTCATATAATTCACGCCGTTATACAAGAACCGGCTTCTTATCTCCCCCTTAACGGCGGGAATATTGTCTCATTCAAATGACAATTGACAATGTATGCCATATAAATATCTCCCATTAGGGGTGCAAAATATTGCATAGCATAAATTATAAATAAACCATGTGATATAGTTGTTATCTAGATAAGAGTAACTACATTTGAGAATCTAACAGGTTCGGTACACAAATGACCAAATTTCAGAATTTTAAAAATTCAGGGACCAAACTGTAAAATTTGAAAATTTAGGGACCAAACTGCAAACTTTGAAAACTTCAGGGACAAGACTGAAATTTTAAAAACTTCGGTGAAAACTGGAAATGCTGAAATATATTCATAATTTCAGATGATGAAAGGAACGAGCTGCATATTCTAAAAAAAATATTTGGATTGAATCGTAAAATTTTTGAATCCGGCGGACTAAAATGAAAATTTTGAAAAGTTTGAGGAGTAAACTTTAAATTTTGAAAAATCAGAATATGCAGAGGGTTTGGAATTTTAACAAGAAAATCAAATCCCCTTTTTTTCGTTTGGTTTGAAATTTCATCTCATCTCATCTAGACCAATTATAAAAAAATCATATACATACCTCGCCATATGTATTTGGAATGAAATTTACAACTTTAATTGAATTGGTCAATGTCGTGACTCCAAAATCACGCAATTTCTTTTGGTTTTGTGTTGGTGCTTGATAAAGCTTATCAACATGCTTTATCGTAAAATGGATATATCACCAATCATTTTTCATATTTCTCATCTCTCTTCCACTTGTAATGATGAGAAAATTTATAATGAATAAACTTTGAGCACCATGATAGCTTTTCATGTCAACATATTTCTTTGATTTTTTTTTCTATTGTTGTTTTCACTTTCAAAGAATAACAACAATTGAACGAGTTTAATATTAGCTCACAACTCGTATTATAGTACGATATGCTATTAAAAATCTTTATTTTGCTATTACTAGTGCAACTTGAATTTTTATGTTGTCACTTCATGATCATAATATAGATCCATAAATTAGAGAATATTTTCTCTTACAATTCTCCATTATATGTATCTTCAAGACACATATATCGAAATATTTTTCTTGTCGTTTTCAAAACAACAAAGTCAAGATTTGAAGAGAGCAAATTATAGAGAGGATCACATATCTATCTCTCTTTTTCTTCATAAGTAACTAGATGTAATGTTACTTTTACTTGTGTGTTCAAGACACGTCCCCAATTAAGTACTCGTTTCTTGAAAATGAAACAATAATATTTTGCTTGGTGTCTTCTAGACACATTTTCATTAAGAAATATTTGGCTTGTGTCCTCAAGGCATATAGTAATAACACAAACATTTTGTGATATCATGAGACATAAATGGATCTTTAACTTCAATGATCCAAATTTTATAGTTATGTTCATTCTTGAACTATCATAGATAATTTTAAACTTCATGATATTTTTGATATCATTGTATCACAAATGAATACTCATTTTGAGTACATATATACCATTCAAATATCAAGGATTGAGTTTTATACCTTGAATTTATGTACTTGATTTGGGGTCTTAAGCCCTATAATTGGTACTTAATCATAAAATAATAGTATCTTGAGTGGAAAATACTTATTAACTCAAATATTCAATATTGATTATCATCACTTAGACCTTGAGTCTAATGTATTCAATTGAGACTTATAGTCTTCAAATTTATTCTAGGCCTCAAGCCTTTATATTTGATGTTCCTCCACATAAGCTTTCAAGCTTTCATATTTAAACTAGGCTTTAATTTGAGCCTAAACTTTATGAACTTCGAGTTTTTTTTTTCGAGTGATGGAGCTTTTCAAGTCGCATAAATTAGAGAGCAAGTGGCTTTTGTTTTTTAATATATCACTCAAATCTTCGAGTCACTTGATTGCACGTGCTCGATTTGGGCCTCAAGCCTCAATATATAATAAAAATCGTTATAATACAACATTCAAATATTCGAGTCACTTGATTGCACGTGCTCGATTTGGGCCTCAATATATAATAAAATTGTTATAGTACATTGATCATGAACGAATAGTACTATAAATGGGGAATACCCTCTAACTCAATTGTTCAAGAGTCTTATCATTTAGACTTAAAGTACTATGAATGAGAAATACATATCAACTCAAATCTTAAGTTTGAGTATTATTATCACATAAACTTTGAGTCTATCATATTCTATTGAGACTTATAGTCTCAAAATGTGATCTAGGCTTCAAGCCATAAATTGATTATGATCAATTATCAATTTTCTCATTTCAATATTTTGTGGACTTGAAAAATGTCCACAAATGACAAATTTGTCATGTCTGAGTAATTTGCTTGTATCTCTCTCATTCGAGATCCAATTTCAACGCTTCAACATGCTGTGAACAGCCAACAGAAAGTCCTACAACTTTCGTATTTTACATTTTATCAAATTCGGACAATATGAGGTCCGAAACGGGACTCAAGGTCTTGAAAAATGACCACAAATGACAGATCTGGCATGTCTGAGTATTTTAAGCATATCTCTCTTGATCGAGATCCGATTTTGATGATTCAAAATATTCCAAACAGCCAATAGAAAATGCTACAAGTTTCGTATTTTGCATTTTCTGAAATTCGGACATTATCATATCCAAAACAGACATAGAAGTACAGACTCGTGAATTGCACGAAAAATCACCTACAACAAAAGTAAGATGGTTAATATTTTATCAATTCAAAACAAGAATAAAATATTTAAAATCAACTCCCTTTCATCTTCTGCTAAGGAGTCATCTTCCTTGGACCATCTTCACTCGAAAATTTAGGTAGAACAATCGTGCTGATAACGTGTTGAGAAACTAACAAAGAAGAACAAAACAAAGATGAATTAACATAGTAATATAGAGAGAAACAAATATATCTTCTTGTGTTTTTCTTGTGTATCCAACTCAATACAATGGGGCACTATATATAGTACAAGTAAGACCATGAAAGGTCATGAGTTACAAGGAGTTATGGGTATATAATGGTGAGTAAATGGTGGGAGTAGTGGTGGGAGTAATGGTGCTTGATGATGGTAGTAATGGTGGTCATCCACACTTAAGAATTCATAACAGTAAAAAATTGTTTTTTCTTTTCTTAATTCTTTTATAATTAATTTTAGTTTAAATACTGATATTTCATATACAAAAATATTTATATATATATATAAAAAATAAAAAAATTGAATATCGAACTGAATTATCGGTTCATCGGTATAGGTATATACGAATTTATACTTTTACTATAAAAAAAGATTAATATTTCTCATTTCTTACCATTTTTACTCTAAGCTTTACTTTTTCTACTAATCCATAATCAAAACACCCTAATCCAACCCCATCCCCAAACCCCAAACGACACAGTTGCAGAGATTTCGCCGTATTAAGCTCAAAATGTACTTGGATCCGATCCGATTTACTATCCGCTGACTGTTCTTGGTCGTCAAGAAACGACCGCCGCCATATCTACTTCTTCCGGTACTTGGGATTGATTTCTCGTTTGATTCCTGCGTTGAAATTGGGTTGAAAAGGGTGGTTTTATGTCCCAAATGTCATCATCGGATCACAAAATCCGGCCAAATCTGCCCTACATCAACTCACAGGAGACTCAATTACCGGCCGAATCGCAGAAACCGGTTTCGAATAGGAGGGATTCGACGCCAGCTGCGCAAAACCCTAATTTCTCCTGCCAGCATTTATTGGGGCTCCGATCCCAGCTCGGCCCGAGCCCGTTCCGCAGCCTGCAGGATCACATCTGCATCCTCCCCCTCGGACGCGCCTCCATACTTCGTGGGGTGGACATCCAGTGCGGATCCTGTGGGCTCCGGCCGCCGCGGCTCTACGCCTGCGTATCGTGCGCCGCCGTCGAGTGCGGTGAGCACGTGCGGTCGCACGCCGAGGAGACCTCGCACCACGTGGCGGTTGACGTGGACCGGGCCGAGCTCTTCTGCTGCGAGTGCGGGGACCAAGTCTATGACGGCGATTTCGACGCCGCCGTCGTGTCGGCCGCCATCGGCGACCGGCCGGTACCCCCACCGGAGAATCTTAAAAAGCGGAAGCGCGTGGATTACAAGCCGTGGACCCCAGATCTCAAGGAGCAGGCACTGATCGCGGAGAACACTACCCCTTTGCCAACGAGTCAACTCGGCAGTGACCCGGGTTCTTATCCACAGGGGCTGAGAGGGCTCAGCAATCTTGGAAACACGTGTTTCATGAACTCGGTTTTGCAGGCGTTGCTCCATACGCCTCCTTTGAGGAACTATTTCGTGAGTGATTTGCACAACAAATTTTATTGCGAGAGAGAAAATAAAACCATTGTTACTCGAAAGAGCGAGCTGAACAAAGCCGATAGTAAGAATGTTCAGTTGTGTCTAGCATGCGATTTTGATGCCATTTTATCTGCAGCATTCTTAGGGGATAGGATGCCGTACAGTCCGGCGAAGTTCTTATACAGGTCTGCGTTTGGGTTTGTTTGCTTGTTCTTCGTACATCTAATTCTTTAAACGCTGACAATATGTTCGTATGCTTAACTATTTTTTTCTGTGCAAATGATATTTTATGCTTGTACAGATGGCACTTTGTGAGTAGATATATTTTATTCATCTGAGCTGATAAAATAGATTTGAATCCATGTTACCGCATCTTTATACGGGCTGCATTTTGTGATACAGTTGGTGGCAGCATGCATCGGACCTCGCAAGTTATCAGCAACAGGATGCACACGAGTTTTTCATTTCCATTCTTGATGGCATTCATGAAAAGTTGCAGAAGGACAGGTACAAGCCCCCTAGTCAAGGTAAGACTAAGCTAGTTTATCCTGCTGGTCATGTTGGACCTTCTTTAACGTGATAGTGAATTGATTCTACTTGCATTAGTCAACAACTATCCATGTGATTTAAAGTCGAGGTTGTAAGAAACATTTCTATTATGTTGTATTATCTGCAAGTATGCTTTATTCTCTTAAAGAACTTTTTTCTTGTTGCCCCGTTGACTAAGTAAAACATTCAACTGTAATTTTTAGTGGACATGTGACATTTAAGAACTTTATCTAGAGAATTCTCATGAATTTAAATTTTAACGAAGCTATCAAATCTTGTCGAGTCTTCTGTAACTCTAGAGTGCTGGCAGGGAGTTACTTAAAGAAGAACTATGCTACACAAATTATTAATAATCTAACTTGACCTATAGGATTGTAAGGATTCAGGAATGCCATTAGATTTCAACTTTTACCAGCAATACACAAGGAACGATGGCAAGAAGTTAATATTTTCAAATGTTCAATGGTGAATCTTGGTAAGTCTAGGATCCATTTGCATTTCTTTCCTCTTCTTTTCCTTTTCCGGACTATTATTTTAGATAGGTTTAGGCCTGTAATAAACTAACGGGGTGTTTTTTTTTTGTGGTGTTGTTTGAGATGACTTTATGATGAATAGATATATAACTCAAATCTTGCCATCCTCTCATCCATTTAGCATCCTGCTTTCTCATACATAGTATTTGATCTGAGCTAGGCAACCCCAAATACTTGAACCAATTGAGTAACATCAATTTCTAAATGCAGGGTACTGGTCTAGGTTTTCCAATTGCTTTAGGCATGATATTGGCAAGTGCTGTCAGGTTTAGGAACAATATTCGAACTCCGAGCTTGCCATCTGCTTCACTCCTGTAAGTTCCACTTTCTTTGGTGAAATTGGCTTTCATCATAGGGTTCTTGCGTCACACTAATTAATCTACTAACTCCATCTTTGTTGTCTTTAGAGTCCTTACATCCAAAGTTAAATAATCAAGTTTTCGCTGGGCTTTGTTAACTTGAATCCTTTTGATTCAAAAAGTCGGATGTTTTGGTCTTGTCCAAGATTCTCGTCGTCGCACCCTTCTTCTAAAATGAAGTCTTTTAAAATACGTTGCTGATGGTTCTCTCACATTAAGTTATTTGTTTGTCTGGCTTAAAATGGTTTCAATCATCTCAACAATTATACTTGATGTTTCAAATTCCAACCAAATTAATGTTAAAAAGAAACCCTTATAGATTCGAAGTCATTAGAACTTGATCTGCCAATAATCAAGAGTTCTTGAGAATCCATTACCTATCAAATGAATGGAATGTTAGTAAAACTAACATAACTTTATTTTTCTCCATTAATAGGGTAACCTATCGTCTTCCCAAGCAGTGTCTAGGATGTATCATTATCCTACATTCTCTTATGTGAATATGGAGTCCGTAGGCGGTCATTTCGTTTCATGAATCATGAGTTTAACATGCTATCTTATTTTTGGCACTTTATAAGTGAAAATTCGAACTTTGCAAGTATAATTGCGAAGGCATGATTTTTATTTTCTGACCACATGTTTTGTCGTGCAGGCAGTGGAGATTGCTGTATTGCCCACCGTGTATTTTCCGGCATCCTGAGATCTGATGTCATGTGCACATCCTGCGGGTTTACATCTACAACGTATGATCCATGTATAGATATCTCGTTGGACTTGGAGCCAAATCAGGTTGATTCTGCAAAAACATCTGCAAAAACATCTGCAAAAACGTCTTCAAAAACATCTGCAAAATCCAGTAATTCTGTCAAGAAAGATGCAAACTCCATGAACTCTGCCCAAAACACAAGCATTTCTACCTTGGTGGGCTGTCTTGATCGTTTCACAAGGCCCGAGAGATTAGGGTCTGACCAAAAATTCTTCTGCCAGAAATGCCAAGTGAATCAGGAATCTCTCAAACAAATGTCGATAAAAAAGCTCCCTATGGTTTCGTGCTTTCATATCAAACGGTTCGAGCATTCTCCAATCCGTAAAATGTCGAGAAAAATCGACCGCTACTTACAGTTCCCGTTTTCTATTGACATGGCACCTTACCTCTCGTCTTCTATTCTCAAAAGTCGGTATGGGAACAGAATGTTCCCATTTGACGAAGACGAGCAAGATGCTTCGAGCGAAATTTCTTCACAGTTTGAGCTTTTTGCCGTCATCACTCACTCGGGTAATCTTGATGCTGGTCATTACGTCACTTATTTGAGATTAAGCAACCAATGGTACAAATGTGACGACGCTTGGATAACTCGAGTCAATGACGACATTGTACGGACTGCACAGGGTTACATGATGTTCTATGTGCAGAAAATGCTTTACTACGGAGAAAGTGAAACGGCAGTTGCTGGTTGACTATGAAGAAAACCATGTCAATACAACATTGTCTGAGGACCAAAAATTAGTTATACTGTTGAATTTGGTTCGTTTTGGACAATTTTATGAGAGTCTCGATTTATGAGGCCCGGCCCGCAATCTTGAAGAAATTTTGTTAAATTCAAGAGTAAGGGTATTTTGGGAAGAGTGTTGTTCAATTCTTTTTCTTCTTCCCTATTATGAATTTTCATTATAGGTGATGAGGACTATAATAGATATTGCAGTGATTGGTACAAAAGCTCAAAGGCTTACACTGATCAAATACTAATCATACAAGATAAGATGGCTATACTGTGTTTGTGTGTTTGTGCAATTATTCTTTGCTTATGTTGCAGTTTTACAATCTACACTCTTTTTAAGCACTTGTCTTGTAAAAAAAAAAAAAAAAAAACACTCCATACTGTGTGTGTTTGTGTGTGTGTGTTAAAATGGTGAAATTGGAAGGATTATGTTTATGTCAAAATCATAGTACAAATTACGGCCACTCTCCTGAAGTATATTTAAATTATGAAAACCTCCTTCATGTTTGGGTAATTATAAATTTACTACCACTCTTCAACTCCTGAAGTATATGTAAATTATGAAAACCTCCCTCATGTTTGGATAATTATAAATTTACTACCACTCTTCAACTATATATTGTTTTACACGTCAACTCTTATGTG